TTTCAAGTGCCCCCCCCCCCCCCGGAGAAAAAAGTCTGGAAGAAACACTGCCTGTAATACGTTTTTTTTCTAATAATCAGGAAAATTAACCAAGAAATAGATTATTAACACTGGGTAGTTTCCTTCTGTCCGTAAAAAATCCAAACAATTCAAAAGAATATAGATCTAGTTCTCATAAAATAATGTAAATATTTCCGTAAAATATTAAGTTTAGAAGGGCAACTCAAATAACAAATAAAAGTCACACTTTTAAAAATAACTTTGTAACGAGAGGAAATCCCTAGTTTCGTCACTTTGCGAATGATGCAATTAGATCTAGTCTAGCATCCAATCAGACATTGAGATCGAGCTTCTAATAATACACCATTAGTAACGCTAACAAATTTCATCAGCCGCACGTATTACGGCATCGTAATTTCTAAGGGCAACCATTTTGGAAATGGCGCTGACTTCCCTTTTCGCTTTTTGTCCCAGGCTTCCGCCACCGCCGCGCGTGAGTCTAAAAATAGACTAACGGCTTGTTCCAACCGGCATTTCGTTGACGCTCTCTGCCTTTCGGGTTTACTTGACATATTGGAAAATTTTTTGGCGGACGATATTTATTAATTTAGTTTTTCTTTCTTCGGAATATTGCTGTCAAAAATAGAGGTAATTTCATCATTTTTTTTCTATTTGAATTAGATTCCAGTTCTTTTTAAAATTTTGGTAGTTCGACAGAGTTTTGCAAATTTTCTTTAAATTAAGTCTGAAAACGGCTAATTTCTCACCAACAAGTCGTTTAAATGTACCTGCAAAGTCTGAATCGATAGCTTTGTAGCCGCCATTATTTTAAAAAGATTTCAAAAATATTGTATATTTAATAAGTTTTTTAAAAATAGCATTATTAAAAAAAACTATTTTACGAAAAAAAGTAATAAGGTTTAATAGTGTCATTAGGTAGATTTAGATCTAGAATCTAGATCTAAATCTAGAGATTCTATCATTCTAATCTAGATCTAGAGTCTAGTCAGTGGCGTGCAGAGCTATGTTGCTGCCCGGGGCAAACCCAAAGGAAGATGCCCCCATAAATTGTGTATATATATATATATATATATATATATATATATATATATATATATATATATATATATATATATATATATATATATATATATATATATATATAAATTACGGTGTTAAAAGCGTTAGTAGCCCTACAATTGACGATAAATTATAACACACATTATGTTATTAATCAGAATACGAATAGAAAAGCATTTTAAAAAATTGACTTAGCTGAACTCTTGAGAAGACTCCATGCATATATATCCAAAAGAATGACTGACTCATTCGGGGAGGGAGAAAACAGTTTGGAGACATGCCGAATGTTGGGGGGGGGGGGAGGGGCTATATGCCAAGCCCAACAAAAGAGTTTACAATTTCCATTACCCTACCGGGGTCGGGCTGCGGTCACCGTTGAATTAAATTGGAAAAAAACTAAAAGGTCAAAGTTCGCCATTGTTTATTGCTACGACTGAGGCCACGGTTGATGTTAGGCCTAGTGAGTTAGCCCCCCCCCCCCCCCCCTCCCCATCTCGAACTTGAACAATGCTGTATTTTATAGAAACACATTGGTGTCGCATCTCGTGTGCAGGGAAGAGAACTACGGTCGCCGGGTGATTGTTTTACCTGAGGTGGCTGGCGATGGGTTGATTGAGTGAGCCCTTCCCCCTCCGCCTCCACCCCCTTGTACCTGGTATGTAAATTTGGGATACCCTATTGTATTCTGACCAATGTAGGTGTATTTTTTTTTTGGATGCCTGTACTAGTTACGGACCTAAAAAATGCTAGTCTTGTCTCGTACGTCGAAGTAGTCGGATACGTAGGAATAAAGCGTCTCGTCTTAACTCGATACATTGAGAAAATATCGATTCTAGTCATAGAGCACAGCGATTTCTGCTTGTGCGCATTGTCGATGTTTGATAGAATTTTAGTATCGCTAAACTTGGGGCCCGCACTTAATGGTCGGCTCTAGGCCCCAAGTATTCATATGCAAACCCTGTGTGGGAATTAATCCAGTAACGGCTACCAGGGTCGTTATAACTCCCACAATTCATTAAATCAACGTGGACTCACTTACTTTACAGGTGGCTCTACTATTTATAACATCAGTTCTATTTAAGCGCCCATTTACTTTACAGATAACTTTACTTTGCATTAAAATACTTTAACACAACTTTTAGTATGCCCTACAATTGATAAAAAATAAAATGGGCACAATTGTTTGAAATGATATCACTACAATGTATATTAAAAATCTGTTGATGCTTATTCTTGAGGGTGTCCTTACAGTGTCTCAGAAACAATACGGACATTCTTATTGTTTTGTATATTCATATGCATCAAAACCGAATAAATTCTCTTGGGTGCCCCTACAAGTTATCTAAAAATAATACGGGCTTACTTCATCTGCAAATGCCCTTTTAATCACAAGCAAAAATAAAATAAATTATTCGAAAATCGCTCTAATGCAATAAAGTGGTTTAAATTGTTCGTTCAATGGCCAGTGGTTAGAATAAAAGTCATGCGTTTAGGTATATTATATAAAGAGACAGTGTTAGTAAGCACACAATTTTAGACAAATTACAATATCAACAAGCATTAGTGGTTAAAATTAAAACAAATAGGAAAACATTGACAAATTTGGACACTTTATATAATTAGTTCGAATTGTGGGAAAAACACCGTTTTCGGCTATAGAATCCAAGAGAAATGTCTCTCAAATGTAATAAGAACGCTCAGTAGTGTGGGGTTTAGGGGTGGGTGACAGTAGATGCTTTGGCTTTGGGGTGGGTGAAAGTTGGGGGGGGGGGGGGAGGTGAAAGATCACGCAGACTGTGCATTTAAATTTATGGTTATGGGATGGAACATCCCCAAAAAAAAGTCTCCAGATTCGAGTACTACATTACTGGATCTCTGGCCATGCCAATAGAGCGTCCAGGTATTACATTACCGGTCTTACAATAGGAGGTTTGTGCCTAAAGTGAGGGGGGGGGGGGGAAACAAGTGACAGCCAGCTACACCTTGTTTATGTGTTTTTGGACAGTACGACCGGGCGGCCGCGAATGCTGGTAATTAAGAAGTGTGAGACTTAAGGACAACTTTAGAATGAAGTTAACTCGGCCCGGCCCAGTGTATCAAAACAGTACGGACTTGAAAGTTTGTATTTAACCGTACACAAAAATCCAAATGGCCATGAATAAAGAATATCATTAGAATAAGAAAAAACCAAGAGGATGTGCGCTTAATCAGTCTACGAATGCCGTTATGTCCATCAAAATGAATAAGGATGCCCTACAAACATTATGCAATGAATAGAAACATAATAAAGATGCCCGATAAAATATGAAGCGAACAATGGCATAATTACTGTAGGGATGCCCTTCAGACATTCAATAATGAATATAAGCATAATAAATATCCGATAATATATAAACGAATATGGGCATAATTGCTGTAATTATATAAATACAAACGCGAATACAAGTAAATTACTTTAAAGTTGCCCTGACGATATATAAAATGAATGCGGGCATAATTACTGTTTGGATGCCCTTCAAAAGTATTATGATGAATATAAGCAAATTACATTAAAGATGCCCCTACAGTGTGTAAATTATAATCATGGACTTTAATACTCTATTGATGACAATAAAGTATAAAATGATTATGGGCATGTTCTTTAAAAGATGCCCCTACAGTGTGTAAATTCTAATCATGGGCTTTAATACTCAATGGATGACCACAAGTGTATAAATTGATTATGGGCGTGTTCTCTAAAAGATGCCCCTACAGTGTGTAAATTATAATCATGTGCTTTAATACTCTATGGATGACCACAAGTGTATCAAATGATTATGGGCGCGTTCTCTAAAAGATGCCCCTACCGTGTGTAAATTATAATCATGGGCTTTAATACTCTATGGATGACCACAAGTGTATAAAATGATTATGGGCGTGTTCTCTAAAAGATGCCCCTACAGTGTGTAAATTATAATCATGGGCTTTAATACTCTATGGATGACCACAAGTGTATAAAATGATTATGGGCGTGTTCTCTAAAAGATGCCCCTACAGTGTGTAAATTATAATCATGGGCTTTAATAATCTATGGATGACCACAAGTGTATAAAATGATTATGGGCGTGTTCTCTAAAAGATGCCCCTACCTACACAAGTATCAGATACTCTATTAATTGAAAGACTGCATACATTTATTCGGGGAATATCAATGACTACTACACCACTACCCTTCACCGATGCCCCTTTCTCCCTGAAGGTTGTACGACACGGACAGTACGATGACTATATCAGTGCCATGTGTTGATTGTATATATACATTTCGGTGAATTCGGCAAATTGTGATAATTTGATAATTCTGCCTAGGTAGACAAACCTTAGTAGACATTTAGCTTTCCTATTAAAAAAAAAAAAAAAAAAAAAAAAAAAAAAAATTTAAAAAAAAAAAATAAATAATTTTTTTTACCCCCTTTGGATGCCCCTTTGATGTGGCTGCCCGGGGCCTGGGCCCCCTCCGCACCCCCCCTCTGCACGCCACTGAGTCTAGTCTAGATTCTTAGAATTAGATTCTAGATTAGATCCAGATGATCGTCAAGCTAGACTCTAGACTAGATTCTAGATCACTAGGAGAGGCTAGATCACTATCACTAGATCAATTTATGAAACCTAGAATCTCTAGATTTAATAATAGATCTAGATTCTAGATGATGTAGATTCTTTATTCTATACATATTCTATACTACAATTAAGTATAAGCCTAATCTAAATTATTTTAGAAGATCTAGATCTAGATCTCTATTAAAAAATTAATCTAATTTTCTAGATATAGACTCTAGAATCTCTAATCTACTTTTTTTTTTCAGTCTGTGGTCTTGCAGCGCTTTGATAGAAATCTGAGTGAGAAATCATTCAGCCATCGGAATCACGGTTAGTCTTTCTGATAAGTGACAGTACTTTAAGTGATCATAATTATTTACCTAATTATTAATTATAGACTACTTTTAATTATAGATCTACCTATTTAGTGTTAAGTAATTAAATCTAGATCTAGTTCTAACTTACCTCTACTCTAAACTCTAAACAATAGTAACTTTTTACTAGACTCACAATTTTAAAAACAAATGGTTTTTTTTTGTGTGTGAAATAAACCTAGTAGGCCTAGTCTATTTATTTTAAAATAAACCTTATGCTTAGATATCTATATCTAAATTTTCCAAATGCATTTTCAGAAGTTCGAATGAGGAGATGGAGATGGCTGGGCCATGTCCTACGCATGAGCAAAAGATGACTCCCCCAACATGGCACTGGAAAACGAAAGAGGGGAAGACCACTGGGAACATGGAGGAGAGAGATGGAAGAAGAAGTGCAAGCTGCTGGCAAGACTTGGCATGAACACAAGTGGCTCGCCCAGGACAGAGTGGAATGGCAGGGATTTGTTGCTGCCCTATAGTCCACAGGGAGTGATGAGGATTAAGTAAGTAATTTGTAATAGACTACTAATGTAACAGACTTTTTTCTAACACTAATTGTTTATTTTAGTATACTAAGTCATGACTTGATTCATCAACTTACAGCTATAAAATACAGTTGCACAGAACTTCCTTTATAATTCATATTTTTCTACAATAAGTAAACTAAGAAAAGATACTAAATCATTGCAGAGAAAGCAGACACAGATCCAGTGTTGGAAGAGGAAGTATTTTACATAAAAGAAAAAAAAAACAGATGTCAAAGCAGGTATTGGCTGGTGCAGAAACAGCATGAAAGGGTAAGTTATTGATGATTTCAAACATAAAATATGCTAAATTGCAGGTTAGGTTTCAAAGAACAACTGGACATCTTCAGCAAGAGAATTGAGAACCAAGATTGATAGTGTTAAATGGGAGATGGATTTGCTGACAATGACAGAGTATTGAAGGAGATAGATGATGCTTTAAGAGGAGAAAGGGTCAAGATCTCAGTAAAGAATGACATTGTTCATGCAGAGAATCTCAAACTGATTGAGGAGTTTGACAGGGTCATCGACACAAACCAGTTACAGCACAAAATAGACACAGACATTCAATCTCGAATAAAGCAGATGAAGAAAAAGTTGGAAGCTATGGAACGCAGAGATACTGAAAATTCCATCTATGATGTGTTGTCTGGATCGAATGTCTCAGTAAACCATCCCCTATTTTGTGGTGTTGACAGAAGCGGAAACCCTCTTTGTCAAGAATAGTGGGTGGTAAAGACCTGGTTGGTGTCTAGCTGACTGACAAGTGGGAGCTAGATGATCAGAAAGTGCATCGCTATTATGTGAGGATTATTAACAGAGTACTAGCTAAAAAGAACAAGTCTGTTGTCTACACTGTATGCTACTGGGCACCGGATGAGGATGAAGCTGAGGACTTTTGCCTACCTGCTGAGTCACTAATAGCTGACTAGATTAGTAGTATCTCTGCTTTACATCCTAATCTGCTGTTAATCCTTGGACAGCATGATTATTAAAAATTTGAGCTTTAAAAAATAATTAATGTTTCATTTTAAATTTGCTTTGTTCCTTTGTTATATATTTTTATGTTTACAGTTACATGCAATGATTGCAATATTTATGTCTTTACAATATGTATATAATTTCTATTTTTTCAAAAGTGCACTAAATTTTTTGTTATAAAATAAAGTTTGGTATGTAATGACATGGTATTATGTTTTTAATCTTTTTTTTTTATATTTTACTTATGGTATTCTAATTTGATACACAGTATAGTGTAAACAAATCAAATAACTTTTTTTTTTCTTTGCAGATTTTTGTATCTTTCCTGGACTGATGACTTTCATTCAACCTGATCATTTTTTAATTTGCATCAACTAAAACATGTTATATAAATCACTTTGTTGTACTCACACCTTAAACTTAAACCCATTATTACTTTGTTCTTTTCATTGATAATTGAAATTTATATGATTGCATCTAAATCTAATAAATAAATATTTTTTGGAAAGCAAACCATTTTGGTTCTTTTTATTTTTATCTTTTGTTTTAATTTGAAACCAGGTCTTGTATAAGAAATTATACTGGTGGATCTGTCAGAGTAACACCATGTTTGCACTTACCACATGAATACTATACATGTCTAGAAAAAAACAACTTGCAATGAGTAAGCCTTCATATACATGTTCTGATAAAATAAGCTTATGCTGAAGTTTTTTCTCTAGACTTGCGCAATTCACAGTGCAACAACAGTAATTGGAAGTAAGCAGTCAATAAATAAATATATTTATTAGACACCAAATTACATATTAAATATTTAGAATGAATAAATAATCATAGTGAGAGATAATGGTTCCATTAATTAGTATCACTAGCTTAACTGATGAATTTTTATAACTTACTATAATGTGTTCAAGCAAGGTTAATAATATTGATAATCTATAGGCCTAACTATAAGAAGCAGCTGAATACCTTTGTAGAGGGCCTATATAAACTATATTATAACATTTTCACTATTTTAGACAATGGTAATGGTATTGGTATGAAATTGTTGGTCATGTAGGGCCTTACACAAATGTTAAAATCTAATAATAAAAAAAAAAATATTTTGCTACTACTACATGGTGGTAATTCAAGTTTTCAGTAGGCCTATGCCTAATAATTTATTCAAATATTAATAGGCCTAGCTGTGTATAGTAAATATAATTTTGATAAGTCTAACTCATAATAAAATACTACATTAACAATTTATAGTAAAATGACGAAAAGTCCGAAAATATAATTTGACGCGTATGACGTCATCAAGTTGTGTACTACCAATATCGGAGACACTTTTTTTTTTAATGTAAGAGGAAAAATAATGGTGGCAGGTTAATCCAAATTTTTTATAAACACAAAAATTTTAAAATCGAAATAGGCTAAATAAACTTTTGCTAGACACACACAGAGTATAAAAAGTAGTTTCAGTAAAAAATTACGCGTCGATCGGTATCTTTTCCTCCCGAAAATAACGAATTTTTCAATTTTCGAAATACACGCTAAATAAATATAATATACTTATTTTTAGATATTAATATTTACCCAAATTGTGCATTTTTATTTCATTTTAGTAAGGAACAAAGCATTTCAGTAATTTCAGTCTATTTGGTGGTTTTATTTATTTGTTAAAAACAAAAATTCAACACAAATAAATCATGTTTTCAATGTTTTCCTAATGTTTTGGTGTGTTTTGGTTGTTTTACCAAAGTATTGTAAACGAGCCGACCCGCGCCGTAAGCATACTCCGCTATTTACTATCCTTACTATTTCTAGATCTAGATCTATTTATTTATCTAGAATCTAGATCTAGATTCTACTTGTTTTATTATCTTCATTTTATCTTCTCTTTTCAGTAGATCTAGATCTAGTTCATGTGAATTGAACACTGGATTCTACCAATGCTGCGACTGAAAATATTTTGCTCTAAAACATATTATTTCGGTTATTTCGGAAGAATTTTTGGTAATCTATCGTTTTGGGTACGTAAAATCGCCCGCGACTTAATGTGAAAAAAAGGTGACTCTTTAAATTGTAATAATTATTTCACATTTTGAGGAGGATTCATGTTTTTTAAAATACTAAAATGTTTCCTTGTTTCATTTATGTAGGCTACCTGTTTTTAAACAATTGAATGAAGACTTTTCAGTAATAATAAATGAAGACTAGCGATGTTTCCAACAGATGCAACTCTTTTTCTATAACAGCCATCTTGTTTACGTTTTATTTTTATAAGAGATTCAGGGGGAAGCCACTCTATTTTACAAATGGCTGCTGTTTATATACTATATAGCAAATCTTGCTCGCAAACACTGCTAATTATTAATTAAAGTTAATTTCTGGCCTATGGGCTATATTGATATATTTAGCCATTGATTTAGGTTTATTATTCATTTATTATCTATAATATTTGACACAAACCTATCACAACAGACGTCTATTAAAGCCTTGACAATGAGGTAACGTTTTCGTACATTAATAGCCGCGGGCGATTTTACGTACCCAAAACGATATATTACCAATGTTTAATGATTAATGTTACTCTTACTCTAGTCTTACTGGTAGATCTAGATTCTAGTAGTTAACACTACACTCTACCTACACACTGTCTGTGTGACATTGCAGATTGCTGGCTAATCATTTCTAATGTCGATCTCAGTCAATGCTAACCCTGTCCCTAACCCCAATCCTAGTCCTTCCATACGCCCAACCCTAATTTAAAATTTCAACCATAAAATTACTGGAGATTACAATACTAGATCTAGATCTACTAACAACCCAAACAACTATTTTATTTTATGGAAGAGTATTTTATCGGACATCTGTAGGCCTACTAGATGGATTATATTATTTGATTTTAATCGACCACCACTAATCACTATATTCTACTAGATCTCTATTACTATTCTTTTTGTTAAACATGCACAGAACTTAAAGTTATCTTTCTTTCAAAATATAGGCCTAATCATTAAGGGGGGCCACAGAGTTGACAAGAATCCTTCTATCATATTGTTGACATGGATAAAATTAATTTTTATTTTATATTTTCAAATTATTTTGACTTCATAAGGGTGTAAAAATAATTAAAAAAATAAAAACTTAAGCCTAAAAATAATTCAGAAATTTAATATTTTTAATTATTTTTAGAATCAATCTAATAAAACGTAAATTAAAAAACAACCACGCACAAATCCACGCATAAATCCACACACAACTCCTCATACAAATCCACACAAAATGAAAATAGGTATGGGGAGAAAACTTCCTCTTTTCTGCACGTAAAAAGTAGGCCATCCAAGTCCCTAATATAGATACTATGTAATAGTTATAGGATATAAAAAGCTTTTAGGTTTTAATATAATATTTTATTTTATTTCGATCACTTAATTATTTTTTCTTTTTATCTTTTCTGTAGATTCCTAAAAAGAAGCTTGTTACGAGCTGTCAGAGCACTTGGAACCAGATGTTTTGACTAGCTATTGATTTCCCTAAAAAAATCACAGAAGCCTTCAAGACTCATACCAAAACTTATAATCAAGAACTTTATTGAGCGGAAAAATTAACATGCTGTGTGTGTCATAGCTGCATTATTTAGCAACCTAAAGATTCACAGAATGAATGAAGAAAAAAACTTATCAGCTCCACTAGGTGAGATGTTAGTTCACAGTGAACATGGCAAACCTGATATTTTAAATTGCTGCACAACTTCTGATGATACAAATGATATTGAACCAGATATTTTTAATGACAACACAAATTCTGGTGATACAAGTGATATCAAGCCCGTTGTTTTAAATTACTACACAACTTCTGATGATACAAATGATATTAAACCAGATATTTTCAATAACTACACATTTTTTGATAATACAAATGATATCAAACCTGATGTTTTAAATAACTACACAAAGTTTGATTTTGCCAATGATACCAAACCTGATTTTTTAAATAACCACTCAACATCTGTTGATTTAAATACCAAACCTCATGTTCTAAATAACTCTAGAACTACCAATGTAGTAAAATCAAAGGTTTCGCTAAGCTACCAAACTAATGATATTGCTCAAGCAAAACCTGAGATAGTAAATGACATGATAGGACTCCAGAAGATTTCAAGTTCAGTTAATGATTGTTCTGTTCAACTTTTTAACAATACACAAAATCAATTTATGGATCATGAAAATGAAAGACAAATACCCCAAAGTTGTCTATGCCAAAATGCATTAAACAACCAACAAAACTTAAACCAGAATCAACATAGAGAAATTGATTCAATAGACTTATCTCATCACTTTTTTTATGTTCCTACAAAATTTGATTTAGTGGACAAGAAATATGAGTGTGATGCTATTAAATTAGCAAATACAAGCTATTTAAGACAACATAAAACAGTTCATTTGCGTAGAAGATATCAGTGTAACTTGTGTGGAATAGATTTTACTTCAAATAGTCTTTTAAAAGACCATATGAGAAGTCATTTGGAAAAAAAGCTGCCTCCTGAGAACAAGTACAGGTGTGATTTGTGCAATAAAACATTTATATCACAATTTCGTGTAGAAAAACATATTGAAATTCATTCTACAACAAGCACAGGGGGACAGCAGTTTATTTGTGATGTGTGTCATAAAGAATTTTCTGTTAAGAAATATTTAGACCTCCATAAAAAAACTCATTCTGAAAAAAAATTTCAATGTGACTTTTGTGATAAAAGATTCGCTCTCCTGCGATATTTAAAAAGTCATGCAAATAGTCATTTAACAGAGAAGCCACACAAGTGTAAATTTTGTAACAAGAGCTACACCACAAGACATATGTTAACAGCTCACTACCACCTGCGTCATCACTTTTATAAAACCTTTTCGTGTACAGTATGTCAACAGGAATTCTACCAAAAGAAATTTCTTATAAAACATAAGAGGAAGCAGCACCCAACATTTCATCAACATTTATTTATTGTCACCAAGAAAGGTAGTAAATTTTATTCTTTTAATTGTTTGTGCTGACATTTGGATAACCAGTTTTCTTAAATAAAAATTATTATTCATGTTCATAGGGAGGTGCATATATGTTTCTCTTTTTATTTTAACATCTAGTAATTGAAGACACTTTTAATGGATCTCAATGTCTCTGGGTATGTTTTACCCATTTTTAATACATATACAACAATTTCATTAAAAGTTAAAAATGAATTAATTTTGTAATAATTTAATATTACCTTAATTTCATTCAAATTAAATCTTAAATTCCTCATCAAAAAATTAGTTTAAAAAGATTGATATGGGGAGTAATTGGGTACCTGACTCAGGGAATATGAAGGTGCCTGGGGTTTGGTGTGAGAAACCAGCAAAAGTGGAAAGACCTTTCTATGGTGGGCCCAATGTGTCTAGGGCACTGGGACCAACGTGTCTAGGGCACTGGGCCCAATGTGTCTAGGGCACTGGGCCCAATGTGTCTAGGGCACTGGGCCCAATGTGTCTAGGGCACTGGGACCAATGTGTCTAGGGCTCTGGGCCCAACATGTCTAGGGCACTGGGACCAATGTGTCTAGGGCACTGGGACCAATGTGTCTAGGGCTCTGGGACCAATGTGTCTAGGGCTCTGGGCCCAATGTGTCTAGGGCACTGGGTCCAATGTGTCTAGGGCACTGGGACCAATGTGTCTAGGGCTCTGGGCCCAACATGTCTAGGGCACTGGGACCAATGTGTCTAGGGCACTGGGACCAATGTGTCTAGGGCTCTGGGACCAATGTGTCTAGGGCTCTGGGCCCAACGTGTCTAGGGCACAAAAAGTAAAAGATTATGTGATATTCGTAACATTTTTAGAATTCCTCATTACTAAAAAGTAGAAAATAAACCCAATACAAAAACCTGTATGTTAATCTAATATATAAAGCTCAATTCTGTATGTAATAAGTTTGTCGTTGACATACTTCTATGGATTTAAGTGTTAGACTATTATCGTGCACATAGTCTAAATTTATGAGTTAAAAAATTACTATTTAAAGTGTTGGGAAATAATTTTCATTTATCAAACTGAAAGTAATAATTTTCGGCATGTTCATTAAACACAAGTTTTAAAAAAATATCATCTTTTACAAAAATTCTAATTATGTCTTTATTTAGTCCTATAGCACTTACTTCCCTTTGATAAATTAGGAAAACACAATTACTTCCCTTTATAAAACCATTGCATTAGTGGAAAAGAATTTACTTTTTATTACTTTGTTTTGGTGTTGGGAAAAAAAAATAGTTACATAATTAGCGGGGATTGATCAAGTGAAAATGTTGTAGGTATTTTACGGATAAGCTTGGAGTATTATAATTGTTCATTAAATTGAAACAGGCGCGTTCGTTTAAGTGAGTGCAAAAGACTATGAATAAGTTGGGGTACTATAGTCGTTCATTAAGCTAAAACAGGTGATTCCGCCCCGGGCGTTTATGTTCGCGTTAGTGTTTTCTTTGTGTTTAGGTGGGTTTGCGTTAGTGGTTGCGTTTTGATTTGGTTCGTTTTTGTTCTTTCTTTTTTCGTTTTTGTTTGTGTTTTTTTCTTTGGGTTTGTATTTGTGTTTTGGTTGGTTTTGCGTTTGGATTTGGTTTGTTTTCGTTGTTTTTTTTGTGTTGAAATTGGTGTTTGTGGTTGGGTTTGTTGTTAGGTTTTTGTTTTCGTTTGCTTTTTTGTTTGTTTTTTCTTTGTGTTTGTATTGGTGTTTGTGGTTGTGGTTGGGTTTGTTGTTAGGTTTTTGTTTTCATTTGTATTTGTAATTGTGTTAGCGTTATGTTTGCGTTTTGTTGTTTTAGTTTTGGTTGGTTGTGGTTTGGGTGGGCAATGCCGGGTTTATGATGATTACTAAACACACAGGTGATGGTCTTTAACAGAAAGGTTTTTCACAGAAGCCAGAGCAGGACCTGGCCGGGACGGCTAGTGTAAATATAAGCTTTTGAATGCACTAAATAAAAACATTGGTTGCTAAAATGTGCTGTAGTTTTTAAGTGTAACTAACACTGTTACTAAAGAAAGAGTTTTAGTTTTCTTATTTAAGTGCATCTAAAAGACTTTTATGTATATATTTTTTTAAATTTAAAAATATATATGTAACCATCTTTTGCACAGGATATTGATAGTTAACACCAATAAAAATTATTTGAAAAAATATGTTGTCAACAAAATTAACTTGAAACAACACCGGCCATTTTGGACATTTTTCTTTTCTAATTTGTTTTTAACAGCAACTGTTTTCACTTGTTTCAGGATCAAATGTGGAAGTGGATAAAGTATTGAATGGGGAAAGTCACACAAGTTCTAAATCAAATCTTCAACACCAAGTGAAACAAATTAGTTCAGTGGATAAGCAACTAGGACCTGATTTGAGTCCTATACAGACCGCGATCAAAGAATATTTAGCCAAGAAGATGGAGACTGAAGAAAAAACTAATGGCAAGTTATTTTTTTAAATTAAAAAATGCAAATTTTCAGCTATAGTTTACCCAACCATAAAGATATTCTTTGTCTATATGAATTATTTAAGTTATTTTTACATTATAAAACCAGTCTACAAAGTTTCATTATATTCACTTCTTCAAAAAAAATCACCTGTTTCGGACTTTTAATCTTTTAAAAATTGTTTTTAACATCAGCTATTTAAACTTTGCTTTTTTGCAGGAATAAACATGAAAGTGGATGAAGTGTTGAATGGAAAAAACCCTATTAAAACAATAGCCCACTCTCAGCAGAAAGAAGACATTAAACCAGGCCCTTCGTCAACGAAAACTTCACAAAACTCCAAAGCCGAGACTTCTAGGCTGATCTATGATGATCAAGTAAAAAAAGATTTATCTCTACAGTCAACAACTACAAACAACAAATTAATAAATTTGCCACAAGCTGGTAACAACACACTTGACCCTGGGTCTTTAGCAAAGCATAACGAACATGCTGCTTCCGCCAAAGAGGAGACCAGGCCATTTGTTCTCAATGAACATAAGAACCTTCCACCCAAATTTATAACACACAGTGAACAATTCCATGGGATCAAAACAGAGACTTTTAATGACCTTACAGAGATCAAGACTTTACAAACCAGACTCCTTGAGAATACATCTCTGCTTAGACATTATCTTAGTCAGGGTCTATCAGTAGAGCATAAACAAACTGAAGTTATTCCACCAAGATTTCATCCATTGGCTAAATCAAATCTTAAACACATGAAGAAAACTAGTTCAGCGGATAAGCCACAGGAATCTAATTTGAGTTGTATAAAAACTGCTATCAGAAAATATTTAGTCATGCGTAAGAAAATGAATGTAGAAGAGAATACTTAGTTTTTAGTTTTTATTAAGTTTCCTAATTTTCAGAGATAAAAATTGAAAATATGGAAATATTCATGTATGTGAACCATGTGAATTATTTGTGTCATAAATCCATAGCCTACAGAGTTAATTTAAAAAGTTAAGTTCCCCTTTAGAACTTGTAAGTCCATAGTCCTGATAAAGTAGAAGCCAACCCAGCGTATGAAGGGATAATGTGTTCAACACTGTCCAGCCACCATTACTTTCCCTAACTTGAGTCGGGTACTTAGGGTTCGGCGTTGTCGAGCCGGTAAAGCTCATGGTTGCTAAACCAAAAAGTCTCGAGTTCGAACCCTCGGGCAGATGAGGCTCGTTAGCTGGGGACAGCCACTCTACTAGGAGAGACAACTCCAAAATCAAACAACTGCTGCCTTGTAGTTTGTTCTTGGTTGGACTAAGGCTATGGAAGCAAATCCAAAAAAGAAAAGCAGGCTGAAATCTGAGTCAACGGCCTCGATGGCGCATAACCAGTTGACACGTATACTTAATTGTGATGGAGGCATGGTCGAGTTGGCAAAAGCTCATGGTTGATAAATTTGAAAAAAAAGTCTCAAGTTCAAGCCCTCTGGCAGATAATTCTCGATTCCTTCCAACACTAAAAATTAAGAACGAAGAATAAGAGTCGGGTACTTAAAATAAGAAGTGTTAGGATATTTAATGATGTTTACCTCCCCTCCCTATAGACCGTCAGGTTTGAAAGGGAACTTAACTTACTACCTCCCCTCCCTCCCTCCCGACCGTCACTAATCTTCATTAAAAACCTACTAATCACATAAAAGCTAATAGTAATCATCAAAATACATTCGAGTACAGGAAATAATATTGTGTAACAATTACATAGAATTATAGAATTATACTATTTATACTGTGTTAGCATTGGTAGTAAGTTCTGAGAGGTCTATTAAAATTTTCGTTGGTGTCAACAATGGGGAGGGGGGGGGGGGGTCCAGTCAAAAGTAGATGGGGGATTGGGGGATCTACAATTGGAAATTTTTGTGTACGTCATAAATGGATGACCCCTTATCTATGCTAAGTGGACTTGAGTCCAAGATCTGAACTCAAGATTTTTGTGTTGATAGTTAGGCGTTCTACCCTTCAGCCATGCCATCCCATTATAGACATATCTTAGCATGGGGTAAATGAACTCACTCCAGGAAAATGTGTTTTTTAATTAGTTTCTTTTAAAGTAGATTGTAAAAAAACTTAAATAAATCTATACAGGAAATATAATATCTAACAGCTCAATGTGTGCTTGAAGATGTTTATTGACAACATCTATTTTAAAATTGTGAGAATATGATGTACATGAATAACAAGTTTGTGAAACAAGTTGCTTTACAGAACTAATTGACTACTACATTTAAATGGATGCACCATATTATTACCAATATTATACCTATCACATGAGGTGTTATTGCATGATACAACCTGAATTAATTCACTCTAGTGTAAAGACTGCAGCTGTCTACCTTTCACTGACTTGTAAGGAACAATTAACACTAAGTAAAATTGTTTTACTTATTTGATAAACAATTTTGTATCCATGGATTTTGAAATGTTGAGTTCAAATTAGAACCATCTTAACAAAACATCACACTAATTTTTAATTTTTCAAATTCAGTTAGCTTAACTTAAACGGGCCATGGACAATCTAGTACTGTATTTTTTTGTTTATGCCTCTTTCATTTTGTTTGTATAATTGCATTGTATTTATTCTATGTAACTTATAATGCAATTGTTTTATTGATTTAAAATGTACATGTACTATAATTCCTTAAATTTTGTTTATTAAATTTTTGGTATTAATGCGCCTTCATATTTAACATCCTTACTTAAAATAAAACAATAAACATTTGTTTTTAACAGAGGTGTTTACTGTGTTAAATGGTTTCTTGTTGTAAAATCTATGTTTCTATATTCAATAATGCCCAAATGTTTTACTCTATAGGGTTTTTAAAAACAAGGCTAGTTTATAATAAGTTTGAGTGGTAAGCTTGAGCGGGGCCCCGGGCTGAAATTTTTTGGGGGCCCCTATATATATATATATATATATATATATATATATATATATATATATATATATATATATACATATATATATATATACATATATACATATATACATACATATATACATATATACATATATATACATATATATATATATATACATATATATATATATATATATATGTACATATATATCTATATATATAAATATATATATATACATATATATATATATACATTTATATATATATATATATATATATATATATGTGTGTAACATGAAAACAAAAAGTTAACAAATGTTATTACAATACGCTAGTATTCCAAGATTTGCTAAATCCCCATTGGTATGCCAACATGCCAACTTAAGATCTTTTAATTACATGTGAAATTTCATTTTTTTTCCTTCTCAATTTCTAATGTAGCTTCAATGATGCTTGCACTAATGCTTTGTTTCATTGGTGAAAACTTCCTTTTTGATCAAGTCTCTGACGTTTACAACTAGCTTCATGCCGACGAAAGCACTCCATATCTTTTTTGTATGTTTGGAATGACTCTCAAAATCACGTTTCAGTTTTGAAGGTTTCCTCGACTCATTGTTTCTTTTCTATTCCATTTCCAGTTATGTTAGTAAATATTTATGTTTTTTTTTTCCATTGCTACGGTTTAGTCTACCAGTTGGCGACCCCCAGAAAGCCCTTCGCCCCCCCCCCCCCCCCCCACTCAACTCACGCTAATAAAAAAATGTAAATGCAAATTCCGCGGACATGCAATAGGACATTATTGTTAGAATGTTATAATTAGCATGGATTGATAAAATTCACTGTGGTAGGTAAAACACGGATATTTTAAATACTGCCTTTTGTTTATTTTATAGATAAGTTAGGGTAAATTATAGTTGTTTACTAAGTTGAATCAGGCGGTTCGGCCGGCGCCCCGGCAGATGCGATTTGGCATTTTTGTTTGCACTTAGGTTGTGTTTATCTTATGCGTGTTGCGTAAGTGTTTGTGATTGCTTTTGCATTGTGTTTGTTTTGTGTTTGCATTGTTTTCGTGTTTGCGTTTTCTTTTGTGTTTGTGTTGTGTTTTCTTTTGTTTTGTTTTGTGTTTTCTTTAGTGTTTGTATTTACAGTGTTTGCGTTTGTGGTTAGTTTTGTTCTGTTCCCAAGTTGATACATTTAATATAGATTCACCGTGGTGGAGCACGGGTATGCAGCTAGTTATATATATTTAAAGAAAATCATTCATTTTATCCTTTTTAGTGCTTTATATATTATTACATAAAAGATTGTTATTAAATGTTTTTTATGCATTTTTACTTTCTCGTATATACGAAGTATAGAGAAAGTCTTGTAATCGTGCAAAAAAAAAAAAAATCGAGATTTTTACAAATCTCGACGTTTTACACCTCACTGATACGGAAAAACATAATTTTGCAATCTTGTCCGTATGTCTGTGTGTCTGTCTGTCTGTCCGTGTGTAAACACGATAACTTGAGTACCGTTACAGCTAGGTTGATGAAATTTCATATATAAGTATTTTATCAAAATCGTAGATCCGTATCAACTTTTGAGCGATTTCCGATAACCGGAAGTGGTACTTTTCCTACTTTGAATTTTTCAAAAGTCTATAACTTGAGTACTATTTCAGATAGATAAATGACATTTCACATGTAAGTAAAAGAACTAATTCTCTACCTTCTGTTAAATTTTGAGTAATTTCCGTTGACTGGAAGCAGTACTTTACGCTACTTCCGATTTCTCAAAAAAACTAATGTAAATTTTAAAAGTACTAATAATATTGCGCACTATTATGCGCTTTTTTATTTGGCGTTCACTTGGTGTGCAATTAATTTGTCTACGAGATTTTATTCTATTTTTAAAACTTTAAGTATTTAAAATGGATTAAAAATCATGTCTATAGCCCGAGTTCCCATCCCCTGTTATTTTATATAAGAATATTCGAGAAAGTTTAGGGGAGATCACTCCCGGTTTATTTAAAGTTTAGCATCTAGTGCTAGACCTCTATTAACATTGTTTATGTTTGTACTTTGTAGGCCTAATTGCAGTTTGCTCAGGTTGTTTAAATTCAGTGTTTCTTCCGGACTTTTTAAAATCCGGGAATGGGGGGGGAGGGGGGGGGAGGGGCGCTTGATATTTTCGGGGGGGTGGGGGGGGGGGGAGCCTATATTTACTTCATTTTCGGGGGGGGGGGGGGTGTGGCGGGCGACACTGGTAAAAGTATGTTTCTATATAAATTCCATTTCAGTTCGCCCCCCCCCCCCTATCCCGAAGAGATGCCTGGAAGAAACTGTTAAAATTGAAGTAAGTGCCTTGTCCCAAAAGAATGAAAAGCGGATGCACGGACGACCTAATAGGCCTATTACTACCACCTCGGTCCTCCTTTCATTTATATTTGATTTATTCTTATAAGCCACCATGACACTAAATCAATTTCATATGCAAATCCACGACCTTCTGATTTTTATGATTATTTATTAATTAGCTATTACATTCTTTTTCACAAAAAGCTGAAGTGAAAAGAAAAACCAGCTATTTTAGACTCATTCTTTATAAGAGCTCTTTTTCCAAAAATAGATTCCTGAAATTTCCACAATTTCTTGGAATTAGTGGGTTTTGGGTAGACAAGGTTCGGCTAGCTGGAGGGATAGATTTAGAATCTAGATCTAGTCGATCTATTCTGACTAGAATCTATATCTATAGTGAGTAAATTCTAGATTTAGTAAGTTGAATTCGTATATGTCATATGTCACTTAGATCTCAAGATCGTAGGTCGTAGATCTAGATCTAGTACTAGCCACAAGTGACTAGTCACTGCTAGATCTAGATCTAGATCTCTAGATCTAGAATTTCTAGATCTAGTCATCTAGATATAGATCTAGATCTAGATCTAGAATCTAGATCTAAGTTATTGAAACTTATAGAGTAGTTAGCAGCTAGCAGAGTGTCTAGTCACTAGTCTAGTGGTCTAGCGTAGCTACTGACCCTAGGCCAGGGCCTAGGGCGCCCTAGGCTAGGAGTCTAGTAAGTCTAACGTAGCTAGAATCTAGATTCTAACTAAAATATATTAAAACCTTAGTTTAGCGTCGGAAATTATCGGGTAATGTTGGTTGAGTTTCGGTAACCATGCCATTACTAACTAAAGTTAGGTTTATTTGACCATTGAAATATAAATAAAGTGAAAGTCGATTGTAGTAAATTAATGTTTTAATTTTTTAAACCTATTTTGAAAATGAAACCAGACCTTTGTAACCACACCATTATTTGTGCTTATAGCAGAGAAATTTTTGTCTGCTGTTACAAACTACCGGTATCTCCCCACACCCTCCCCAGCCAAACAGCACCAACTACGTACTTGGGATCACGGTGAGTTCATACAAGTATAGGAATCAGTGACCTTAGTTACTAGGAGGGGTGGGTTAGACTAGCTCTAATCGTCAGCCTTTGCAAAGATTTCATTTAAAAAGTATGGAGAGTGAATTGAAAATAGAGGTAGACCTAGTTAAATTATACATAGACTACCACTTCCCTCATAATTTTTTAAGACTACCTGCCTGCATCTTCAGACAAACTTAAGAAATAATAGCGGATTAATAAAAGAGGTCAAGATTTTAATGGCCACCCCCCCCCCCCGCCCAATGTCGTAGTAACTGAGAAATCGGGTTTCTTCTGCAATCCAGCGAAAAACGTCATACCACAGTGTAGACCCGTCCAGACTTTTTAATGTCTGAAATTCACTTTTCTAAATTCAAGACTTTTTCCAGACTGCGTACGAACCCTGTTAAACAATATTTAGTAGCAGAAATATTTAGCTGAAATAACTTAAAAATAACTAGTTATACAAAATGATTAATAAAGCAGTATTTAACACGCAATTAAAATAAATCTATCCAAATTTTAAACGTTCTGTATTAAAAAATAAAAGATAACGCCAAATAAAGTATGGTTTACAATACTTCGGGTGGATTCCGGAACTGTGTGACAGACTTTGTCATTGTTTTACTGTTTTTTACTGCTATACAATTCTGGAATAATAACCGACGCTAAACTAAGATTTTACCAAGATATTTAGTAAAAGTACATTAGTTACAGTCTAGAATCTAAGAATAGATCAAGTAAATAAGTAAGAAGCTAGTGTTCGAGTTAACTAGAGTAGAGTAGTTTCAAGTTTGCATCCATCAATGATCATCAAAGGCAAAGGGTTACTTTTCTTTTAAAAGAAAAATTACCAGATTAACTAAAAGACATTAGTTTGATTAGGCCTACTATAAAACGAGTGACTACTCTGAAGAAGATTTTTCTCCCCAACGTCTCCACTTAGTTGGCAAAAGATAGCTCTGCGCATGTGCAGTGACCTATGGCTAGGGTTAGAATTAGGGTTAGGGATAGGATTAGGGAGAGGGTTAGGGTTATGGATAGGGTTAGGGATAGGATTAGGTTGGTGTTAGGGTTCTGCGGTTGTAAACACATGCATGCGCAGTATCATCGAAAACATTGCCGCTATGGCAAGTCGTAGTTTCTCTCCGTTGCGGATGCACATCTTATTCCGGCTAGCATCAGCCATAATATTAATAGGCATATAAATCTAATGTTAATTGCTAAGGCCAAATAAATGAATAAAGCTATAGGCCTAGCAGTTTACTTAAACTTTTAAAGTTAAAATACTAACTAAAAATACTTTTAAACAGCTCCTTGGGCCATTTTTATAATACTATTAAACTGTATGCTAAACTCATACATTTTTTGCAGGTAGGACTTCTCATACATGATATTTTAGCCACAGAGAACATGTCAAACTCTGGTATAGAAAGTGATGCTGTTGGTGAAGGCTTTCACCATGAAGAATTAGAGCAAAGAGCTGAGAGGAGAGTTGCACAGGCTGGGGCTTATGGAGGTGCAGCACCACCTACAACTAGTTATTCAGGTAATAAAAGTATTTTAACATATTGGGGTATAAAAGTAAATTCTGAATTAATTAATTATAATGATTTAAGTCAGTAAAGAATTACAAATATTTAAAATCAGATAGTAATAGTAGCCTCACAAAGTAGGAAGCATGATTACTATGACAACATATTAGGGACCAAGGTCTTCTTTAGTACACCTCCCTGTACTGAAATAAAATCTATACAACAAAAGGTAATTTAAAAATTGGATTTAGCTTGGCTTGACTTCAAATAGAAGAAAGCTCATAGATGTTTTGGAGACTTTACTTCAGGGAAGGGAATAGGAATAAATGCTGGATTGTTTAGCTCTTTAGAAGTAACTCATGCAGAAGCAATAGTGTTAGAAGAATCTTTTAACAAAGATAATATTTAATATTTTCAGCTGAGACAAGATTTACTAAAGTGAATATAAAAAATGCTCAAAATGTTGTGCATCAAGGAACTCTGAATGTCACTGTGTTGAAAGATGGCAGCACCAAAAAAAAGAAAAGAAAGGCCCAAAAGCCAATTACAAGTGAGTTTATTTTCATTGTTTTGTATTATTTTCTTATAATTGTTGAACATAAACAATTTGCAAATTATTAATAATTCCACTCTTGTCAATATCATTTAAGAAAATCACCTCCACCACAGACATTGCTTTCAGCCCTTCTTTTAATGTACCCTGTCAAATGTCAAAGCTGGGTGGACTCATGGAAACCCCACACATTAAAGTCACAATGATTTTTTCACCAGGTTTAACCCTCAGCTGTGAAATCTTGTCTCACACCACTTAATCCCGTATATCATTAGTTAAGGGGGTCGGCGTGGTCGAGTCGGTAAAGCTCATGGCTGCTAAACCGAAAAGTCTCGAGTTCGAACCCTCAGGCTGATGAGGCTTGTTAGCTGGGGACAGCAACTCTTCTAGGAGAGACAACTCCAAAATCAAACAACTGCTGCCTTGTAGTTTGTTCTTGGTTGGACAAAGGCTATGGAAGCAAATCCAAAAAAGAAAAGCAGGCTGAAATCGGAGTCAATGGCCTCAATGGCGCATAACCAGTTGACATGTATCCTTAATTGTGATGGAGACGTGGTCAAGTCGGCAAAAGCTCATGGTTGATAAATTCTTAAAAAAAAGTCTCGAGTTCAAACCCTTTGGCAGATAAGGCTTGATCCCTTCCAACACTAAAATTAAGAACAAAGAAGAAATTAGTTAAAATAATACCTACAATAATTGTTTTTTCTTTAAACAGCTTCTCTTGAACAGCCAAGTCGTGATCAAATTATGGACATCAAAGACAGAGTGGGACCTGATTGGAAAGATTTGGGGCGGCGTTTGGATTTTGATGACGCTCTCTTAGATCAGATGGAATTAGATTTCAAGCCACTTAGTGAATTGATTTACCAAATCTTAAATAAGTGGAAGCAAAATGAGCATGAAAATGCAACCAGAAAAAGGTTGGCAGAAGTATTTATGAAAATGGATCGCGGTGACTTGGCAGACTTCCTGGCTGATTAATTTTTTTAAATTTTAGAAAACAATTTTTCTTTGTTTGTTAATGTCAATGAGTTGGGTATTTCTGTAAGGTTGCGGATGCATCTTTTAATTCAACATACTCATCACCCTGTGTACATTATTAATTAAATTGAAAAACGTGCTATTGATTCAAATGTCATATTCTCACAAAAAGTGTTTCTAGCTAAAAATGCAACAGTTGTGTTAGTATTATTGCCATTTTAAAAAAGAATGAACACAGTAGAACACAGCAGCTCATAGAGATTTTAAAAATTGTTTTGTTAAATGGCAGTGCTGTGGTTTTTCACATTGGTAAAGGTAACAATATTAGCAAAATACCATAGCCTCAAATTTGTCCTGCTGACACCAAGGTAAAAAATTGCCTAATTTTCATAAGAAAAAAAGCTTTTTTTGCCTTTCGCATTAATAATTTTAAGTACGAAGTTAGTAATTTATATAGATATATACTTTGTTTCTGGGGGGGGGGGGGGGGTGGAGGTGCCACTGTATAGGCCTACTAAGAATTCAAAATAGTGATGTTGTTGATCTGTGATGTTAATTGAATTATGGCCTAAACAGGTGTTTGTTAATGTTTGTATGTAAGTTTCTATTATTTGTACACTAATGTTTGTATATAAATATGATACTATGTGTGGTGATACGAGATTTATTTTGGAGTTAAAGAAGTTATCTAATGTGCTATATTATAACTTATATTTGTTGGAACAGGTTTGAAAAGTTGTCACTGAAAACTAACAATGAAAAATGTTATACTTTATGTATGTGTTTTTTGTTTACTGTATATTTTTTTTATTGTTAATAATAACGTGAATATAAAAAAAAAACTGCTACTTTTAAATCTAAAATTTGGTTTAATTTAAAGAATTTTGTTAAAGAATTTCTTATAGATACAATGAAGGATATGGACTGGTATGTGGATTTCAGTGACTTACCTGAATGGTAATGTACTTACTGAAGTTGTGCCGTACACAAGTTTTATTAACTGAGATTGTTAGCATGAATGTAATAAATTAATTATTATTTTTAACCCGAATGATTTTCTTTTTTCATTTAAACCCCCCAGATCAAGTTGGATTTTACATTGTCAGTTAATAATAACACAATGAATATCTGTCTTTGAAAATAGATTCGCATCTAACACCTTAAACCACTAGAATATAATTGATTTTGATCATTCAATATATATTTCAAAAGAACACAACACCCCCCCTAATGTAGCAGTTCATCCTAATCATCTATTGAAGTATTAAAAACAGCAGAAATCTGCAAAAAAAAGGAAGTTAAAATTACGAAAGGAAGCGTTTGGTCTATAACACGATATAACAAAGTGATACACTACCTCCATTTTTTTAGCTTGAAAAATCACTGTGTACAATACCTGGCTTATCATAGTTCTATTTCAATATTAAAATATTGCCCTACATTCTGTAAATCAAGTACGCCTACATACATAGTCAACTACAGTTTCCTGAAAAAGAACTTTTGATTATGTAACCACCAATAAAGGAAACTGAACAGTATTATGATTATTTAAGTCAATTTCGTCTATCACAAATATACGTTTTTAGTAAACAAACTAGAATACCCGTCATCCGTTGGATAACTGTGGGTTTCGGGGGTCATCCATCAAAAAACATCACGTCTGTCACTCAGAGGCATAGCGACCCTTCCCGGCGCCCGGGGACAAAGTTTTCGATTTGAACCCCCCCCCTCAAACTTTTGATGTGCAATTCCCCCCCCCCCCCCCCCACTCAAACTTTCGATTTGAACCCCCCTCAACCTATCAATTTATTTTTCCAAACCATTTTGGCGCCCCAACATATGTCCCCCCCCCCCTTCCCCCTCCACCTCCCCACCCCCGCCTCCCCTTCCCCCCCCTCCTGCATGAGAGCTGACTACGCTACCATTTTAGCTATTTACTCGTGACGTCACAAGTGAATTTTTATACTATACTATGTGTCTCCTTATGCAACTTGATTTACGCGTATAGATTCTAGATCTAGATCTAAAAATAAGTCTAGTAGTACTAACTTTCAAATTAAATTTTATCTTAAATAAGCCAAACAAAGATTTATATAAAATAATTAAGGCCTGAAATAGATTCTAGATGTAGAATTTACATTGAATCTAGTGACCTACATCTAGGCTAGATCTAGATCTAGAATCTAGATCTAGGCTAGATTCATAAATTTCCTTCGATAGCTGATCTTTAGATCTAGAGAAATTTATCGTAAAACTAAATGAAAAAGACAGTTGAAAATTGATATAAGTGTTGGAACGTAATAAATACAGCAAAAGGACGTATTGTTTAAGTTATAGCCGGCAGAAAATTAGCTTTGTAACGCGTTAAACTTTTGAATGGGCCACATAGTCTATGATGGGGTCCGCCATTTTTATTGTACCAAAAATGTAAACACATCAAGGGACGTCACTATCCCCACAAAGTTTATTCAAAGTATTAACATTTTTAAAAAAATACGGTTAATTTAACTATGAATAAATCAATAAATTAATTAACGTCTTTAAATAAATTTGTGATCAACAGTCTGTCTGCATTAAAAAATTATTCTCTACCTGCATACCATTTTACAGCTTTCCAGATAGAGTCGAACATATCACAATTTTCGATCAGGCAAACAAATAAATATTCAAACATGTAAACAAAGTTGAGTTTTAGTAGTATACTAGAATACCCGTCATCCCTTGGATAACTGTGGGTTTCGGGGGTCATCCATCAAAAAACATCACGTCTGTCACTCAGAGGCATAGCGAGCCTTCCCGGCGCCCGGGGACAAACTTTTCGATTTTAACCCCCCCCCCCCCCTCAAACTTTTGATGTGCACCCCCTCCCCCCCCCCCACTCAAACTTTCGATTTGAACCCCCCTCAACCTTTCAATTTATTTTTCCAAACCATTTTGGCGCCCCAACATACGTCCCCCCGCCCCCCCCCCTTCACCTCCCCCCGCCTCCCCTCCCCCCCCCCCGCCTCCCCTTTCCCCCCCCCGCCTCCCCTTTCCCCCCCCCCCCGCCTCCCCTTCCCCCCCCCCCGCCTCCCCACCCGCCCCCCCCCCCTCCTCGCTACGCTACTGCAGTGTCACTTATCGTCACAAAAACAGAGCCCACATTCAAAAATATGTTTCTTATCTTTTAAAAACACCGAAAACACCGATTTCGGACTATCCCTTCATATACTGACGTCACATGTGACCTACTCAACTCTACTTCACCTGCCCAGTGTCCCGCCAAGTCTCAGACAACATGTTTTTATCGTTTAAAAAACGATTCCAGCCGAGCATGTCTCTGACCACACTATCCTTTCATATGGTTAGGACAAAGAAACAGATGAACTCTACTTCACCTGCCCTGTATCCTGCCAAGTTCAGATAGGCAACTTTATCATTAACATCTAAAAAAAAAAATTGAAAAAAAATATCATTTTTTATCATTAACATCTAAAAAAAAAAAAATTGAAAAAAAATATCATTGACATATTAGTCTAGAACCTGTACCACTCGCATGAGAGCGGACTACGCTACAAACTTAGCTATTTACTCGTGACGTCACAAATGAATTTTTATACTATACTTTGATGCAACTTGATTTCGAGCGTCTAGTCTAGAAGTAGTAACTTTCAAATTAAATTTTATCTTAAATTAGCCAAACAAAGATTTATATAAAATAATTAAGGCCTGAAATAGATTCTAGATGTATTAAGGCCTGAAATAGATTCTAGATGTAGAATTTACATTAAGTCTAGATTTAGAATTTACATTGAGTTTAGTGACCTAGATCTAGATCTAGGCTAGATTCATAAATTTCCTTCGACAGCTGATCTTTAGATCTAGAGAAATTTATTGTAAAACTAAATGAAAAAAGACAGTTGAAAATTGATATAAGTGTTGGAACGTAATAAATACAGCAAACGGACGTATTGTTAAAGTTATGACCGACAGAAAATTAGATTTAGAACGCGTTAAACTTTGGAATGGGAACACAATTTTCTTCGATAGACGCCGCCATTTTATTGTACTAAAGAGTCAACAAAAAACTCTGACGTCACTATCAAGGGACGTCACTATCCCCACAAAGTTTATTCAAAGTATTAACATTTTTTAAAAAATACGGTTAATTTAACAATGAATAAATCAATAAATTAATTAACGTCTTTAAATAAATTTGTGATTAACAGTCTGTCTGCATTAAAAAATTATTCTCTACCTACATACTATTTTACAGCTGTCCCGGTAGAGTCGAACATATCACAATAGTCAATCAGGCAAACAAACAAATAAATATTCAAACATGTAAACAAACTTGACTTTTAGTAGTATATAGATAGATATTAAAAAAAAACGCTTTCCCATGACTGCTCTATGGCTGTTTTCGGTTGTTTCTGTCCGCTTATATATTGCGTTAAGTTTCGGTATTTAGAGGAATATTGGCAGCTGACTATTTCCTGGTTTCTTAAAAACATGGATTAGGATATGAATAAATAGGTAAAATACTACGTTCTTACTTCTTACACAACAGACAAACTGTAGATCTAGATCTAGTAACATCTCAAGATTGAGATGATTGATTTTTGTAAATTAACAGCTAGTATTCTAAACCTGAGTGTTTAGTATTCTAGATCTAGCAAAGTAGCTAGTCTTGAGTAAGAGTAAGTCTGAGTCTTACTTTGAAAGTAATACTTTCACTTTTCAGTAGTTGCATCATCATTGAATTAAAAAATAAAATGAATTTAGTTTAAACCTAGACTCTAACTCTAACTGCCAACTATTACTAACAATACTAAAGTTAAAGTCAATGAGTAAAAGAAGAGAGTTTTCAAAATTTCAAATGAAATTAATAAAATTATTCAATACTGTCACGCAGTGGGTCTTGGTAAACTTCAAGTGAAAATGTTAAAAATGGTGAGAGATAACCACTCCAACTAGTCTAAGCAGCGATAAAATAATCTAAAAATCATAAAAAATTTATGTGACCAGCTTTCATAAAGGATAGTCTCAAAAGTAGTCGGAAGGCCCGTTAAATATTTAAAAAATCATGGATAATCTTATTAAAGTAGGCCTAAATAATAAATATGGTTATAAAAATTTGGTTTTGTCTGACTTTACTGAAGATTGAATGTAGACCTGTTACTGTGTGTTGGTAAATTGCAACATTGCAACATGCCAATTGGCAAGAAGGTAAATTGTGAGAAGGTTGTGAAGACCGTCGCTTATATGACATTTTTGTCTCTCATCCTACCTCCACCTGATATTTACACTTGGTGGGGATAAAAATGTGAAGATTAAAATTATACCACACCCAATATTTAATGAACTTTGATACAGACTCCAAAGACGTTTCATTTCAATGTGAAAACTTCAGATTTTTCATTCTCTAGATGTGCTGGTGATTTATCAATTTCTTTCTTTTGTGTGGAACACAGAAGCCAGATATATTGCCTTTGATCATCCAGTGCTTGAAGCCGCTGCCGCCCCAAACATGTCATCTATTGTTATAAAGAAATTTTTTATTATTACTGCCAACTACGATTTATTTTTTCATTGCTTTAATATAAATTTTGTGGATTTTAAAATATGTTTATAGTTTTAAATTGTTTATTTATACTTCTCTGACTTCTCTTATATTTATTATTTATATTAGTACAATAATACAAACTGTTAAAGATCAGAAGGTATTGGCCGTACATTAACAATGTGGCTGTATATTTTTCTAGTGAACAATATAAACTCACAATGTCCCAGACATGTTTGTCATATTGCTATTGTTCAGGCTATGATCTAAAGTTTTTGTATGCATCAACTGTGGCCCTTTAAACATCAGTATTTTTCTCATGCAGACTAGAAATTGTGTGCCAAGCGGGCGACTATGTTTAGAATTTTAAATATAGATCTAGAGTTAATAAAAAAATATACTCTATCTTCTCTTTACAAACTCACAGTGACCTGTTGACATGAAAATGTTAACAGGCGATCATAGGAGAGTAATGATTGTTACGAAGTCATCTGTGTGCTTTGTTTTGATGGTGGTGATGACTGCAGTGAGAGGTTAAACAGTTGTGTGGTGAATTAGACACTGTAGACTTTGGATTACTTGATTGTTGAAGAAGACACCAACACAAGTTCAGCTGAACAACTTTAATTAAATAGATAATGAAACTACACTCTATATGGTAGTCCTACTATGGTCTAAGGGAGCAGAACTTGTTCATTAATAGAAGCCGGCCTTAGGGGCCAGCCCTACCACACTTTACAAAACACAAAAACATGACTACATGCTAGCAAGCCTAACGTTCAACTGTCTAATTCTTCTGCCCCAAGCCTCACCCTCAGGTTCCTTAACCCCTGCTTGACCCTGGCAGTCCAGCGAGGGTAAAGGGACGGGCGCCCTAACCTGCACATTAATAGCTAGGTGGGACAGGGATGCATTGTGTCCCAGTTCAGGTGTGGGACAGGAGGGGTAGGGTAGATACCAACTAGCAGTGGGACGAGGGGGGGGGGGGTGAACTCAGTTATAACAATGATGTTAAGAATTTTTTTGATATTTAAAAAAAATCTAAACTTGATAATTAAACAAAAAAAAAGAGCAACATACAACCCCGGTGAAATATCAAATTCACTTTCCCCATATACCATAAGGTTCAAACAGGGAACTTTATCAATGCTAATTGAAGCTTTACTAATCACTTTGATTAATGAAGACTTGAGTGATCATCACTCACCACATAAGTTTAACTAGGTTTATTGTGAGTTATTTGCTGATAATAGTTGATTTTATTGTTTAGATGGGGTAGACTACAAGAGTTGTTTAAATACTGACTTGTTTATATCATTTTTTTCACTTGTAATATAAAACTATTCATGGGCCCATACATTTAAACGTAAATGTCTTACTTAACCTAACAATAAGTCTGTTGGTGTAGCAGGCCTATACAAATGATGTATTTCTATGAATAAATTCATCAACAAAAATGATGATTAATTAATCCTTGACATTGTCAATGTCTGTGTCACAAGTTATATGAAGGATGTAGTTTTAGATAGGTGTAGCCTAACATAATTTAACAATAACATAAGTCATTTCTTTGGCTGAGTATGAAAATTAACATAATTCATTAACATTGAAACATTAATACAAATACTTATACATTGTTACTAAATGTAAGAAATTGTTCTATGCAGAAATTTTTTGTATTTTTTTTTTCATTTCATAAACCTAACAAACATGTAAGAAACTTTTTTTGTTTTGTTTTATATAAATCAAAGCTGAGCCAAATTTATCAGACGTATATTCACATCTTATTGTCTAAAATAAATTTCCCAAAGTCAGGGTCAACCTATCTTTCCTTCCACGGTATAAAATTACTTATCTAATTTTAACTAAAGTTTGTTGGAATTTGTTTTTACATAAATACTAAACAAACACTATAAAAATATAGTCTTGTGCAAACATCAATATTGTTGTTTGACTTAGTACTGTCTAAAGTAGTTACTTATCTCCCTTGATTACCTCATACTTATATTTAAACAGATAAGCTTAACATGAGTCACTTAGTTTTCTGATAGAATATTTTAAATGCTTTTCTTGTACATAAATGTTTTTATTCTAAAGGACAAACTAGTTTTATTCAAAATGGATTTAAAACGTTTAACTTTTAAGTTACATTTTTTATTTCAAATATATTATAATGTACAGGTAAATGTACTACTTAGCACTAAATATGTGTCCAAATTCCTTTTGGTTCAAACATTGGCTGTACTTATAGGCCTACACTTAGGTTACTTAAAATCCCTAGCTAATTTTTAAAGAAATTAATTATAAATATTAAAATGTGTATGTGTTGATCTATTTGACAACTTTAACTTATTCAAATACTTTCTTTTTGTGTTTAACAGAGCCAGATAATCTTTACAAAATGGAAAAACTAACAAGAGAAAGTGTTTCTGGCAGTAGTAAGCACACATCATCACCATTCGCTGTCCCAACTTGTAGCGGGGATTCCAGTCACCTAGTTCCGGAATTCTCTAGAAAACTGAGTATAGCTGACGAGCCAGAGGAAACGACACTCACCAGCAGCTCAGGTGCTACTGCAGGCAACCCACATTGCCAGGAGGAGATGAAAACTCAGGTAGACAACATAGACTCTGTGAGTGAGAGCAAAAAACTGACCCCTGACCCCGCAGGTGAGCACAGGTTCACCTGTCCGTGTGGGGAGGTGTTTGAGAGGTCAGTTCAGCTGGCCTCACACAAGCGTTGGTCATGTAAGCTTAAAGAGAAAACTGCCCAGTGCGATGTCTGCGGAAGCTGGTTCGCTTCTGAGTTAGGTTTGAAAAGGCATATGAAACATGTTCACGGGGGTGCCGTCAGCTGTGACGTCTGTCACCTACGCATTCCCAACACTATAAAACTGACACGTCATGTCATGGAGGCTCACCATGTCGACACTAAACCTTCCTCGTTAAAATGCTACGTCTGTGGTGACACCAACTTTGAAAGTAAATTTGAACTGGAGTGCCACCTAGTGGTTCACAAGTATGAAAAACACCACCAAAAAATGACGCAGTCAAAATCATGGACTACAGAACATGCCAGCCATTTTTCACCTTACCCTGCACCTTTCATGAGACCTCCAATGCATTTCCCACCACGGCCTCCGTGGCCATTTTGCCATTTCCCACCTTCCCCCATGCCCCATTTTATGCACCATCCACTATTCCACCATTCTCCATTCCATCCGCAACCTTTCCACCACCTTCAACCTGATTCATGTCTGTTTGCCCAACCCACTACACCTACCCAACCTTCAGACTTGTCTGACGCTCCTCCAAAAGTTGATGCCCATTCTCAAGTCTCATTCCCTATCGACCAAGATTTACTATCACAATCTGAACAAAGTTCAATTCCTCCCTCCCATCCTCGCCATGATCACAAATACGTAGAGCCTACATCGGTGCCTCTGCTTGCTTACTCCCACCCAATGAAACATCACCATGGCCACCATGGGAAGATCAAATGGAAAAAATACCTCAGGCTGATGATGAAAGGCAAAGTCCCCCCTTTGTGGATGGGGGACATGCAGCCAAACTTTGACCCTCAGGAAGTGGAGACCCCGCCGATTGGAGCAAAGACAGACACATGCGAGTTTCAAATGGCCTGCAAGTTCTGCGACAAAATCATCCAGAGAAACAAAGTCAACTGGCACCAGCGTAAGGAGTGTCCGGTTTTGTCCGTGCACAGGTGCAGCGTGTGCGACAGGGTGTTCAGGAAGAGGCACTTCTTGATACGACACATGCACGAGCAGAAGCATTACCAGTTTGCTGGGGAGGTCACCAAGGGCGCTGGAGCAGGCTCGCAGCTTGATGCAAACACACTCTCCGTCCTGCAGGAGAAGATGAACGCCTCTCTAACTTTAGTCCCTAAGCAAGAAAACACACAGATGGCCCAACAAGAAGATTCTACAATGGCAGAGAATCTACCCAAAGACTCGCAAATAGCCCAAAATCTGCCTGAAGATTTAAAGATGGCCCAGGATTCACCAGAAGATTTAAAGATGGCAGATAATCTACCAGAAGATTCTCAAATGGCTCAGATTCTAGCAAGTAACTCAGAGCAATCTCTTGTAGATAAAGAAAGCATAATGGAAGGTGTAAGTAGTTACCCAAATGCACCAGAAGATACCCAGACACCAGAAAAAGTCTTAAATACAACACTAGTTTCCCAGCACCAGTGCAGCATTTGCAAACATACCTGCCAAGACAGGGATAAACTGCGTGAACACTTGAAAGACCACATCAATCAAGTGATCACCATTCAGAAAGTTCATGAATGGACTATTAAATCTTCTGAATATTTTTTCCTCACCGACCCAGACGACGAGCTTGACCGCGACACCGCCACATCTGTCACTGCCAGCACCAGTTGCGTGGACTCTGAGCTGACCTCCACCACCGGGTCAACAATGCCGGACAGCCACTTCTCCAGCCTGGACTCAGCCATCTCATCCGACCCGAAATGGACCAAGCCGCATAAGAAAAAAAGCAACCATCACCACAGGGGTGAGATCCATGTTTGTGACTTCTGTGGTGAGCAGTTCTCCTTCCGGAAAGATCTCCACTTCCACATGGAAAACAAACACAAAGACAGCACCTTAAAGTGCCCTGTGTGTAAGAAAAAATTCAGCTGGAAAAAGCGCGGCAAATTTTACGAACGGCATTTGAACTCGCACTACGGGGTCAAAGTTTTTAAACATAAGTGCGACACCTGCGATAAAACATTTCTAGAAAATTCCAAACTCCGGGCGCACATGTCTCTCCACAACCAGGAACTGCTGCACAGGTGTTCAATATGCAAGAAAGGCTACGCAAACAAGTCTAGCCTGGTGCGACATGAGCGCAGGCACACAGGGATCAAGCCGTACCAATGTGAGATCTGCGCTGAAAGTTTCATGGAGAAGCGCGAGCTGTTGCGACACTCCACCACCCACACTGGGGTCGCCCCGTTCAGCTGTGAGCAGTGCGGACAAGGTTTTACCCTCAAGACTTCTCTGATGTCTCACATGAAGAAAAAGCATTTAACTGTTGTTCCTCATTTAGTGTAATTATTCTTGACCTTATTCCAAATTATACGGACTTTATGTTTTTATCGGATTCCAAAATACGTGTACTTATTCTTGAATGATTGCCAATTATTTGGACATTGTGCCTTTGATAATTATTTATTACAAGACAACAGTGCTTCACAATTTGGTACCTTCGCTGGTTACAGTGACTGACAAACAATTTTATACTAGAACCAGGAGATCACGCATAATTCTTTGGCAAATTATTTTGTTGCTCTTCTGCAGCAGAAGCCAGGATTGTATTACAGGTATTAGGCATGGCATGTGTGGTCAGACACACCACCCTTTTTTAAAATTCAGAAATGCAATTTATAAAATGTTTCTTTTTATTTGCTAAGTCTTTGTGGAGAGAATTTTCAAAGACAAATAATAACATATTCTTAATCATGCTTTTTATTAAATAGGGTAGGCCTTTTTAATTTTTAAATATTTTATTTAATACAAACCCCGGGTATGTTTATAAAAATATCATCTGTTTAAACCTAGTATGCCTGTATTTCTCTTGTATCTTGTTTCTGTGTCAAATAATAATCAGTAATGTAAATTATTCTAAAGTTATTGATCACAGAAACATCCTGATATACTTTTCTGTTGGAGAAATGTTTTTTAACCAAAAAAAAATAAAGTTTTTCATATATGTTGAAAACATTTTTTGTATTTTAACAATTTTTTAAATTGTGATAACCAGATAACAGTTGTGATTGTTAACCCACTTGTCTTAGATCATTTTTCATACTGCAGAGTCAGCCTTAGGATATAGATGGTTAAAACATGTTTGAAATGAATTGTTTTTAAAATACAAGTGTAACAAAGCCTAGTAGCAAAGTTGCCAGTACAAAACAGGATAATCCTATTGTAGAGTTGGGACAGGGATTAATGCTGCTACCTTGAAGTTTCTTCTTAATCCCATTCGTGCCCAAGACACATGGGGCAGATAGAGTTCATCTGATTCATTGACCTCGGCATATGAAAGGATAGTGTGGCCAGCACTATGCCTAGCAGCTTTTGTTTCCCTAACGTAAGTTAGGTACCCATCAGACCTGGGTGGACTCAGGGACGTTCCATCTATTTGAATCCGGATTTGAACTCGAGTCTCTCGGGTTAGCAGTCTAGCTCTCTATTGCTAGGCCATGCCGCCCACATTTCATTTGGAAGGTTAGTCTTGCTTTAATCAAGATGTTTATTCATAATAAGTTTTTAGGGGGTCGGTGTGGTCGAGTCGGTAAAGCTCATGGTTGCTAAACCGAAAAATCTCGAGTTCGTACCCTCGGGGTCAGCCACTCTTCTAGGAGAGACAACTCCAAAATCAAACAACTGCTGCCTTGTTGTTTGTTCTTGGTTGGATAAAGGCTATTGAAGCAAACCCAAAAAGAAAACCAGTTGACACGTGATCGAGTCGGTAAAGCTCATGGTTGTTAAAATTCGAATAAAAAGTCTCGAGTTCAAACCCAAAATTAAGAATGAAAAAGAAGATACGTTAATTAATTAAAAATACATAGATAATGGCCATTATATCAACAAAATGGACTTGAAGTGTCCATGATGAATTTTAACAACTAATTGAAATCACTATCTTACCAAAGACAACTATAGTTATTCTATAAAAAATTAATTTAAAAAAAAACTCTTTCGTTATCTATTAAAATCGCTACAGGAGTGATTAAGACACAGCTAATCAAACAACTGCATCTTTCATACAGGTTTACACTACACTGTATACGTCATTTATATTATGGGGGCAGGCTCACAAGTAATAAACAGTAGCCATCTCTTGTTGTTTTATAACCTTTTCTATAACCTTTGTTGACATTAATGAATAACTTTGTGTACTGTAGGCCTCAGAGGCGCAGCTACCCATTTTGGTGCCAGGGGCGAACTATCAATTTTGCACCCCCCCCCCCATATATTTCATGTTGGCAAAAAAGCACCCCCCTCCCCCACCAGTCACTGTTTACATGTTTTTTTCTGTATCACACAAGGGATGTGGAAAATCACCGTTGCAAACAAGTAGCTTTCTATTTACTTAAAATTTTAACTAATGCAGCTGAAAAAAAAAAAAAAAAAATTATTTTTAGACTCGATAGGGCTGATAAGTAGGTCACCAACCAGTTCTACGGCCCAATAAAGCCTGCATGAGCCATAGAACTGGTTGGTGACCTACTTACCAGCCCTATTGGGGTGCCCTCTTTTGGGTTGGCGGCTGCCCCTCCCGCCCTCCCCTAGCTACGCCTACATTGTAGACCTACATGTCAACTTAATAGCTGACAGTTATAAATTACCAGCCACAGTGTTAACTTTATAAATTTAACCATGTAGTATCACACTTGTTAGTTTGAAAACAAGTACGTCATCGGGAATTCCCCATTTTATTGTGGAGAATTCCCGGGTGTTTCTTTAGGGTCTTGGTTTTTCTTCCACACTTGGCTTGCTTTGACAATCTTCCTTCTCTGTGCTGTTCGGGACTTGAATTGATGACAAGTGTTCCTCTACCTGTCCCTACTACCCCCCACCCCCACCCCCTTCTCACTAACTTATCCGTAGGTGTACATCAACGTTGCCTTTGTTACCTAGCGGTGGTGGTTGGGGGGACGACGACTGACTTAAGTCAAGTAACGAGCTTAGGGTAAACACGATTTTCATAACTGGTCACGGCAGAGGGGGGGGGGGGGGTGCAGTCCGCACTGGGTGACACTATTTAGAGGGTGACACCACTTAGAGGGTGACACCAATTTAATTTAAAAAGAAACTTGTCAAAAAATGTACAGCCGAAACAATGTTTTATCTAGCTGGAATAACAAACTAGTAGGGGGAGTTATGACACCAATTAATATAAAAAATTTCTAGAGGGGGTGTGGGGTGACACCCTCAGTTTACGAATCGGGTGACACCCCACCTAGTGACGCCACTGCATCGGACTAATTATTGTAATGTTGCAATATTACGCTTCAAATTTCTGACCTAATAATTTTTAATTTGCAAACCTGAGTATCTTTTGAAATGTTAATGCTGTCGATAAACTTCCTATTATGATTTCACAACTCCGAAGGTTCCAGAATTTGTCATAGCAGTTATAGCGATAAAACCCCATTGTAACTATTGTAGCCCTACAACCCCAAAGTCAAATTCTATTGTAGCCCTACAACCCCAAAGTCAAATTCTATTGTAGCCATACAACCCCAAAGTCAAATTCTATTGTAGCCATACAGCCCCAAAGCCTGATCTAATGTAGCCATATAGCCCCAAAGTCTGATTTAATGTACATATAGCCTCAAAGTCTGATTTAATGTAGCCATATAGCCTCAAAGTCTGATTTAATGTAGCCATATAGCCTCAAAGTCTGATTTAATGTAGCCATACAGCCCCAAAGTCTGATCTAATGTAGCCATACAGCCCCAAAGTCTGATTTAATGTACATATAGCCTCAAAGTCTGATTTAATGTAGCCATATAGCCTCAAAGTCTGATTTAATGTAGCCATACAGCCCCAAAGTCTGATCTAATGTAGCCATACAGCCCCAAAGTCTGATTTAATGTACATATAGCCTCAAAGTCTGATTTAATGTAGCCATATAGCCTAAAAGTCTGATTTAATGTAGCTATACAGCCCCAAAGTCTGATCTAATGTAGCCATACAGCCCCAAAGCCTGATCTAATGTAGCCATATAGCCCCAAAGTCTGATTTAATGTACATATAGCCTCAAAGTCTGATTTAATGTAGCCATATAGCCTCAAAGTCTGATTTAATGTAGCTATACAGCCCCAAAGTCTGATGTATCACAGCCATACAGCCTTAAAGTCTGATCCATTGATAGCCATACAGCTCCAAAGTCTGATCTATTGATAGTCATACAGACCCAAAGTCTGATCTATTGATAGCCATACAGACCCAAAGTCTGATCCATTGATAGCCATACAGCCCCAAAGTCTGATCTATTTTGTTTTAAAATTGAATGTTGCAAGTAAATCTTGAATGAAATTCTTTGTGTTGCTCCAGTTATTAACTTATTGAACCATTATCATGTACGCAGCAGGGGCGGAAATACAGTGCCGCCAGACCCCGCAATGCGGGGGGGGGGGGGGGGCACGCCATTGAGGGGCCCACAGTCGACCAAAATAATTTTTTTATAGTTAAAAAAATAATTTTCTAGCATTTTTGACTTGATGGTTGTTTTGTAAAAAGATTACCGTAGCTGCGATTGGATTATGTTTTTTCTATAGACACCACCCCAAGCTCTTGTAAATTCTTTTTCCCTTTGTTTTTAAACCACTCTGTAAGGGGAGTCCTCTTACAATAAAATTTATCAAAGATAAGCAAACTTTCAAACCACTTCCATGACTTATAGTCAAATAGGGGTGCTCCTAAGCTCCTTTTAATAGATTTTGTACTAAACAAATTAAAAGCAATTACTTCTCTTAATTAATTTTTTTGTAACGTACTTACTAAAGAATGGCATTGTAAAAAAAGGAAATGTATTTAAAATTAATAATATAAATACAAAAGAACATAAGAATAAACATAATACGAGACACCATTACTTATACAAAGCTTTCATGTTTTATATTCTTTTGACTAGAGGTTAAGAGGGCTTATAGCAAAAATAAAATATAACTGATTTTCACAAAAAAAACACACTTATGCACTTACACACATGACATGATGTAGTAATTTGTTTTAATTGAAAAAAACCCAACATTTTTTTAAAAACTTGAACAGGCCAGCAATGAGTATCCTATGTTCGTATTTTAAGTTTGTATATATATATATATATATATATATATATATAGGGGCCTAAAATTTTTTTTTGCGGGGTGGTCCTTTTTTTCTAGTTACGCCACTGGTACGCAGATATATTCTTCATATTAAAGAGTCAGTTCAGTCGGCCATCTTGTTTCAAGCGTTACGCATACTTTATATGCCAAATCTTATTTGAGTGTATAATTAAAATGCTGCACTGTCTAAAGTCTAAACGCATTCACGGTCTATCTAAACAAATTTCCAATGCGACAGACTGTCATTTTACAGAAGGAAAGGAAATCCCACTGACCTAAAAATAGAACAATTTACATCCTGTATTTCACATATTTAGAGTCTAACATATACCAGAGTCTACTTCTACCAGTGAAGCAGAGCTAGCTCATTTCGTTGGTCTGTGTAAGTAGACTTGTTTTGTTTCAACGTAATTTTTATTTTATATCGATTTAGGAAGATTCAAGTTGGTTTTCTATTTTTTTTTTGTGCTGACTGAGTGAACTCCCCTTGAAATTAATATACAAGGTGGGCCCACATTAACTTTGTAGGGTAGACATGATCTGAGCGTAAAGTAAAAAAAAAAAATTACTCTTTTGAGCTGGTGTTTCATCGAGCAAATGAGGTAGAGTTCACCTGCTTCTGTGAAATGGGCATATATTAGCTAGTGAGTCCAGCCACCTTTATTTTCCCTAAAGTGAGTTATGTCTCATAGAAAAGTACAAAAATAATGTTACCCTTTCAAACGGGGCGGTGCATGGGGCAGATGAAGTAGAGTTCATATGTAATATTCATCAGAGCTTTATAGACTTAACCCGTCTCAACTCCCGAACGAAATGGAATTTATTTTGAAAACATACACTTTTACCAGTGTCCGCCCCCCAACCACGGAAAATGTTGTCCGCCCCCCCCCCCCCGAAAATATCAAGTGCCGCCCTGCCCCCCACCCCCGGAGATAAAAGTCTGGAAGAAACACTGGTCTTAAGGACAGAAGATTCGAACTCGTGATTTACGGCTTAGCACACGTGCGCTATACCGCACGACCACACAATTATAACCGTCACTACCAAAATGTTGTATGTTCCAACATCGTCTCTGTGTGCGTTATTTCATCTAATTCTTAAACCCCCTCCCTTACAAACCATGTAGATTTAACTAGGATCCTGTGACGGCCTGTCTTTTGCAGTGGTGTCACCTTCTGCAGTCCACCCCCCACCCCACCCCCGCTACACTACACACCTTATGCCACCACTGTTTCTAACCTACACAACGTCCAATATGTAGTGTAGCTATTTATGACTGACGCATGCGTACTGGTTTCTTTAACCTACTAGACAATAGTGGCACCAAGGATATAGGCCAATGTTCTGCTTCGCTGATTTCAATTCTCGTGGCCTACCTATGGTACAGGTATAATCGCATTATACAATATTGCTAGAGGTTCTAAAGTATTCCAGTGGGTCTACTCTTTTGAACCTAGGGGTCCTTGGTGCAGGTGAAGTAGTGTTCACCAGTTTCAGTGCCCTCGGCATATGAAGGGATAGTGTGGTCAGCAATAAGTGCAGCCGACTTTACTTTCCCTAACGAGAGTCCGGTACCAATAGGGCTGGTAAGTAGGTCACCAACCAGTTCTACGGCTCAATAAAACCTGTATGAGCCATAGCACTGGTCTGTGACCTACTTACCAGCCCTATTAGAGCCAGGTGGACTCTGAGCTGTCATACGGACTCAAGCACGGGATCCGAATTCAATATTATGCAGTTAGCAGCCGAACGCTCTACCATTCGACCACATTGACCCTTTTAAAATATTGGTACTTGTGTTTTGGCGAGTACCAATAATTGATGAGACTAGAAAAGTTAAAAAAAAATACCATATGAATATATATAGGCCTAGGTAAACTGATGTTTTAATATCTGCTGTTGTCAACGAATCAAAGTTAGTTTTAGCGTCAGGAGATGGGTTGTGGGTTGATAATAACCTACAACACAAACCCCAGCCTAGCTCGCATTTAATACAAATAAGATAACAAAATAAGGTAACCAAAAAGTATTTGTTATATATATATATATATATATATATATATATATATATATATATATATATATATATATATATATATATATATGTATATATATGTTCTGGGGCGTATCTAACCCTCCCAACCTTAACTTTATCTTCGCCACTGATATTCATCATAAGCAACTATTTGTATTTACCTCCTCAGAATTCCCCTACCGTTGAAAATGTTTCTATCGCCAAAAGTATTGACACCATGGCTGGTCGTACTAGGTGTGTTGGGACTGGCTGAAAACAAGGAGGTGGTGCAGATGTCCATGCACAAGGAGATTAACGTCCCAGTGGGGGACAGCGGTCAAGGGGTCAACTGTGGTAGGAATTATTTGGCTCTACATCTTATTTCCTCGATCTTGACCAAGAGAGTTGAGTGAATGAAGTAGAGTAGATGGCACTAAGCCCAGCCGGGTTTGTTTCTTTAACCTGAGTCCGGGAAACGAAGTGGATGGACTCAAGGAGTCTAACCCCGATATCCGAACTCGAGACTTTCCGGTTAGCTGTAGTGAGCTCCACCCAGCTCTAATGGGTACCTAACTCACGTTAGGGAAAGTAAAGGCGGGGCATAGTACTGACCACACTATCTCTTCATATGCCGAGGTCACAGAAACAGGTGTGCACTACTTCACTTGCCCCATAGACCGTCAGGTTTGGAACAGGAGCTTTACTTTTAAGCAGCAAGCTCTACACTCAACCTCGGCGTTCCTTGTGTTTTTACACAGATGATGAAACAATCAGACAGATGAATAAGCCCTAACACTAAGTGCATTATCTTCAATTCATCTTGACCACAAAACAAGACACCACCCTCGTACTAACTACCAATTAACACATATCCTTCCACTATAAGGCATTTAGTATTATGATATATCTAGGCCACAAAAAATGTATAATCCTAATCCTAGCAATAACAATTGTGACATTAATCCAAAGTGTGACCACACGACTAATCACAGGTATGACACCAAATGACTAAAGTAAGAGACATCAACGAGTTACGGTGATTCGACAATTTCAAAATTTTTTCGTGAAGTAGGATAGATGACTACTTAAATGACAAAATTCAAACTAGAATTACTATTAACATTCCTCGAGTAGTAAATCGTCGCTAGTCTAACATTCTAAGCTTTCCCATAAGTGTATGACGACACTTTTGGACAAAACATATTTTTTTACAACACCACCCTAAAACCTACAGACACCTACTATCGTAAACCGGATGCGGTACTAAAGTGGCCTGCCTGTGGTTTCATACGTTTTATTTTCCCCAGGAAAAAATCCCGTCAACTTGACCTGGACGCCGAAAGACCTTTCACCTTCAGGAGAGGTCACAGTTTCTCTCTACTTCACACCACGTAAGTATCTGCTTGATTAGGTCACAAGTAAGTATAGATTAGGTCACAACTAAGTATAGATTAGGTCACAGCTTAGTATTTATTAGATCACCGCTAAGTATTGATTAGATCACCGCTAAGTATTGATTAGATCACCGCTAGGTATCGATTAGGCACCAACTAAGCATTGATTAAGTATTAATTAGGTCCCAGCAAAGTATTAATTATATAACTTTCATGTATTTATTAGATCATAGCTAACTATAGATTAGATTACCGCTAAGTATTGATTAGGTCACAGTTAAGTGTTAATTTGGTTTGCAACTAAATGTTAATTAGGCTACAGTTAGGTATTGATTAGTTCACAAATAAGTATTGATTAGATCGTAGCTGATTATTGATTAGGTCTGAACTAAGTATTGATTAGATCATAGCTAATTATAGATTAGGTCACAGCTAAGTATTGATTAGGTCATAGTAAATTAGGTCGTAGCAAGTCATTGATTACGTTACAGCTAGCCATTGATGAAATCGCAACTAGCCAACAATTAAGAAGGGTTCGGTGAATGCTCGTATGAAACTAGTTGGGTTCGGTACCTCCAAAAAGGTTAAAAATCACTGCCCATAGTTGGAATGGAAAGGGGTGTGCTTGTTGCTATGGACGTTCAAAGACAATGAGGGTCCTTGGCTACTGGCAATATCATACACTTCAATTAATACAAACGAAGCTGTTCAATAATTTATTATGACTCACAAAATAATAGACAATGAAACAGATATCAGAAGAGATCAATGTTTACTGCTTAGTAAAACTTGATCCAATATTTGTGACAAGGTCGGTCCTAGTTCTTGAGGTGGTACCCCAGACTTTTTAACCTCAGCGCATCGCACCAACCTGTTGGATAACACAGTGTCTAGTCAGGGTTTCGAACTCGTGACCTTCAGGTTAGCAAGCGGATAATCTACCGCTAGACCTCCGCTGTTCTCTAGAATTACAGCGTAAACATTATATTACTCCTCCTAGCTTACGAAATGGCAACCGGCAGCTTTGACGCTAGGCTGTTCGAAGCTGGATCACAAGTGCCTAAGTTCGAGTACGGGGACCAGTTCGACTGTGGACTGGCTAAACAGTACGGTATCCCGTGTCCTCTGAAAAAAGGCGGTAAGTGCTAAATTCTACTCTACATCTGTACTATCACTCTACTCTAGCCACATCACACCAGCAAACCCAGTGTTAGGGTTATGGTTAGGGTTATGTTCAGGGTTATGTTTAGGGTTATGTTTAGGGTTATGGTTAGGGTTATGTTTAGGGTTATGGTTAGGGTTATGTTTAGGGTTATGGTTAGGGTTATGTTTAGGGTTATGGTTAGGGTTATGGTTAGGGTTAAGTTCAGGGTTATGTTTAGGGTTATGGTTAGAGTTATGGTTAGGGTTATGGTTAGGGTTATGGTTAGGGTTATGGTTACGGTTACGATTATGGTTATGGTTATGGTTATGGTGATGGTTATGGTTATGGTTATGGTTATGATTATGGTTATGGTTATGGTTATGGTTATGGTTATGGTTATGGTTATGGTTATGGTTATGGTTATGGTTATGGTTATGGTTATGGTTATGGTTATGGTTATGGTTATGGTTATGGTTATGGTTATGGTTATGGTTATGGTTATGGTTATGGTTATGGTTATGAGGCTCGTTAGCTGGGGATAGCCACTCTTCTAGGAGAGACAACTCCAAATTTAAACAACTGCTGCCTTGTAATTTGTTCTTGGTTGAACAAAGGCTATGGAAGCAAATCCAAAAAAAAAAAAAAAGCAGGCTGAAATCGGAGTCAATGGCCTCAATGGCGCATAACCAGTTGACACTTAACGCTTAATTGTGTTGGAGGCGTGGTAGAGTCGGCACAAAGCTCATGGTTTATAAATTCGAACAAAGTCTCGAGTTCAAACCCACTGGCAGATAAATCTCGATCCCCTTCAACACTAATAATTAAGAACGAAGAAGAAGAAGAAGAGTTATGGTTATGGTTATGGTTAGGGTTAAGGTTATGGTTAGGGTTAAGTTTATGGTTAGGGTTAGGGTTAGGGTTAGGGTTATGGTTAGGGTTATAGTTAGGGTTATGGTTATGGTTAGGGTTAGGGTTAAGGTTATGGTTAGGGTTAGGGTTAAGGTTAGGGTTATGTTTCTAGTCTACATCTGTACTATCATTTTAGCCACATCACACCAACTATATATATATATATATATATATATATATATATATATATATATATATATATATATATATATATATATATATATATATATATATATATATATATATATATATATTGCTATATCTATTGTGCTAAGCAGAACCAAGAATTACTAGTTTTAAAAACGGGCACGAGGAGTATAGTTATCAAGTTTCCATTATCTTTGCCTTACCACTAACCCTAACACTAGCCCAAGTAAAAGTAATGCTCCTGACCATAGCGATATGATAGTTATCATATCACTAGCCGTACTTAATATAATAAATCATGACCCAAAATGTTTGCCTACTACTAATACTAACGCCTATATTAAACATAACGGTCACTTTACGTTTTATTCTAATTCTTACATCTTTAAAGAATGAAAAAAAAACAACCCACAATCAACAGTAGCCTATATTTTCTTTGCGCCTATGTCATTTCCAAACATCACAAACGATAGGGGGTCATCCATAAATGACGTCACGTTTTTTGGACGATTTAGACCTCCCCCTTCCCCTCCGTCACACATCATCACAAAAAGGCAGACCCACTCCCCTAAAATGACGTCACACCCAAAATTGCAGTTGATTTTCTCATAAACATCGATAGTTTTCAAAAATCTTGTCTGAACTCTACCAACATAGAGTAATTTAATAAGTTTCTAGTACAATTTATTGAAACAGTTTTCTAAAATGCGTCATAACGGCTAAATATCGTTCTCAATTATTGCTTTTTTATACCTCAAATGTGTGACGTCACCCCATCTGGATCTCCCCCCCCCTCCTCATCACACACCGTAAACAAAATTATGGATTCCCCTTCCCCCTACGAGTTTGACATCATTTATGGACGACCCCCATAGTGGTGTCATAATTATACAAAAATATAAAATCAGCTTAAGATTAGCTTTCTATATCGATACCAACAAGCAAAAAGTCTAACTGAACTGTTAAGACTAGAAAATAGAACCTCCAAGTATACGCATTTTAAATCTATGTTTCTTTTCAAACCAAAATGTTTAAAAAATAAAATCTCCTGACGATCAAAATTTACCATTATTTAATATTTGCAAATGTAATTGTAATTGGTTTTTTTTCCAGTTCCTTTTGCAATGACAAAGACGATCACAAAATTAAGCTTTTTGTCTGGTCATGCGGTAGGAAAGATTTACTTTTAAACTATTTAGTGAGCGATATATATATATATATATATATATATATATATATATATATATATATATATATATATATATATATATATATATATATATATATATATATATATATATATATATATATATATATATATATATATATATATATATTACGATCAAAGCCCGAAGTGCGACCAAAGCACTCATTGGCCGGCCAATGTGCGAATTGGCCGGCTCTCTTGGCCAAAGCCCGAAGAGTTTAACACTAAGATCGTATTTTGTACATTGGCCGGCCATTACGCGCACTGACTGGGACGCACTGGCCAAAGTCCTATCTAGACTAAGTTGTGATCGCATTTTCATTATTTTGGGTAAGATTTCATTGTGAGTAACGTATAGTTTGGCTCTTGTTTGTATAGCATTCTATATGCACTGGAACATGGACCAAAAGGACCGTCAGATCAAAGACAGACATACCAGATGAATGCCAAAATATTTCTGAACTAAAGAACATGTGGCCTGAACTTAAACTAGTTCACGGAAAACCAAGGCATAGCCAAAGCCAAGGTTCAGAAGAACGTGCCAACCAAGATGTTCAAAACATAATGATGACATGGATGCAGACAAATGAATCAGCTCAATGGGCTGAGTGTCTCAAACCGTTCTCTTCATCAAGGAATCCAACAATCGCCATACGAAGCCTTTTTAATGGATGCAAAGCAAAAGTGGCTCTCGATAATTTAGTTACTGAGGCAGATCTTGAGAACATTGAACAAGAAATGGAGGTTGTCATAAATGCAACTTCATCCTTAGCTAACACATCTAATGAGGTGGTGGATTGCCAAGACCAGTTGCGTGACAATAATATGGCCAACAGATTATATGTAGTTTGTGAAAAATATTGTAGTGCAGCCCATTCTTGTGGATCCTGTGGCAACGATGTCCATGCAATATGCGGAATAGCCAATAAAGCAGACGAAGGGTACGGAGGGAACATTTCTTGCAGATTATTTCACAATAAACAAGAAATCATGGACAACAGGTCAGCAGCTCATACTAGCTTGCAAACTCAAGGTGCTAAGATGCTAAGAAAATCAGATACACATTTTAAACAAGCTGAAGTGGGAGGTAATGTTCACATCCGTATACCAGATGTTGACAGAGGTCGCGGTGATCCCCGAAGCGTCATTGCAGTTGTCATGAGCATCGAGTGCACTTTCTACAAGCTATGAACGGAACATGGTGATCTAAAAGAAATTTATGCTTGTCTATTGAGACTGAGAAAAAAATCACCACGAACCATCGCATATTCACAATCACTGACCGGCGGCCAAGGCTACATTTGCTGCAATTGCACGACCAAATCCAAAACAAATAGCTGCAAGTGTAAAAATAACAAGCTACTATGTAATTCTAAATGCCAAAAAAGTTCAACTTGTTGTAACAAGTGATAATATTGATTGAGACTATAGTACAGTAAAATAAGTTGAATGTTTAATTTAATTAATAATCAATAAAGACTTAATTTTATGATCCTTACGGTATAAAAAAAAACCCCAAAATCTGCTTATGATCTTATTCGGCCATGGCCGGTCAATCATGGCCGATCCGCGGACTGGCCGGCAGAAGGCCGAAATCAAGTAAAGTTTCGGACTTTGACCGGTCTATGGGAGGCGATACTGGCAAATGCGTGCCGACTTCGGGCTTTTTGTGTCTTTTATTAGGCAAAGAGTAGGATTTAAAAATATGCATATTTATGTTATATCTTAATACTTTAGCACATTCCGTCACAATAATTTTCCAATACAGAAGCTGATCCTAAATAAGAATAGCTTAGCCGATCGACAGATGTGGCAGATGAAGTAGAGTTAATCTGTTTCAGAGACCTCAGCATATGAAGGGATGGTTTGGTCAGCACTATGCACAGCCTCTTTTACTTACCCTAACGTGAGCTCGGTACCCATCTAAGCTGGATGGACTCATTGACGTTCTATTGACCCGGATTCGAATTAAAGCCTTTCGACTACCCCGTTCCATAGCTTATATCATAAGGTTTTTAAAATATGCCATGATTTATTTCCTAAAAAAAAAAAGAAAATTTATAACGTTTAATTATAAAAATTCAATAATATCAAATAATTGGACGAATGTCTTCAACAGGGTCTTTACATCGGTATCATTCAACTGTTTGATGATCAAGACGTGGAGATGTTCTGTGTTAACATGACGGCGCGTGTTCTAACTTCGTAAAAATACACATAGACGTGATCAATCTTAGTCACGTCTAAGATTACATTGTACAAACAGTAAAACAGATCTATCATCGTGTGCTGTGTGTATTGTGTGTTCGAAAGATTCTCCACTGTGGAAAGTATGATCAGCGAATGATTTCACTGTTGCACATTCAGATTTTTAAAAATTTAAGTAAAGTTAATTTTTATTCCATATTTGTTTTTGTTATATTTGTCATAATTATTCTTGTTTACATTTTTTAAATATTATCATCTAAATTTGAATTAATTTTAACGAACAAAATAAATTTATATATGTACACAAGGAAACAGCGTTTGAAAAGTGTAACTTATTTTAGTTAGGAATGTTCATTTGTGTCAGAGATCTGTTAATACCAGCTAAACACCACAGGGATGGAGTGGTCTAGCGGTAGAGAGCTGGACTGCTAACCGGAAAGTCTCGAGTTCAAGTTAGTAGATCGTACCTGAGTCGACCCAACTGTGATGGGTACCTAACTCACGTTAGGTATAGTAAAGGCGGCTGGGGATAGTGCTGACCACACAATCTCTTCATATGCCGAGGTCACAGAAACAAGTGAACTCTACTGCACTTGCCCCATAGACCGTCAGGATTGAAACGGAAACTTTACTTTTTTTTAAAACACCACACAGCCAAAAACATCACACAGCCAAAGCAATGCACAGGTAAAAGGTTTTCCAACCGCAGCAATGCCAACAACAAAGCCAGCAGCTTACATAACACTCAGCATATTCCGTGCCAAATCCTAATATATAAAAGACCATGTGCGCACTTCTGTCTCTCTCTGTCCGTAAAATATTTTCACAGGCTATCATATCAGCATCGTCAGCGATATATGGACAACTTGATACCGACTTTTGTTGAAAATAATATGTTAGATGTTTTAAATGTATTAACAACATTTTATTCAAAGAATAAAAAAAAAAATTAAAAAAATTTCATCAACCTAGCTGTAACGGTCCTCAAGTTATCGCGTTTACACACACACACAGACACACGGACAGAATTGGATAATCCAGTTTTCCAACTCCATTACGCATAAAGCGCCAAAATTTTGATAAAGCTGTTTATAATTTTTGCCCGATTAAAATAAGTCCTATATCCCGGATGTGATGAAAGACTGAGGAGTAAAACGATAAAAACTGTCAGAATTTCATGTGATTTTTGTGCACGATTACAAGACTTTCTCTATAGGCCTACTCTGTATACGAGAAAGTAAAAAGCTGGAATAACATGAATTAAACTCAAGTAAATTTTGTACTCTCACAGTTGTATTTGTTATGTTATCAAATTGACATAAATAAATCAATAAATAAGTAAATTAAATAAATAAATAAATAAACATATATATATATATATATATATATATATATATATATATATACATACATATATATATATATATATATATATATATATATATATATATATATATATATATATGTTGTTACTTCAACATTTATTTAATCCTAGAAGTTAAATTGGCTAATTTTAAAAAAAATTATTTAGCATCCTTCTCAGACCATAGCTAAAATATCGTGTGTCCAATGCAGTTAGTCAGGGGTAGACGGTTATTAAGAGCTAAAGACTGTACTGGGTCAAAGATCAAGGACCCGAAGTCTTCAGCCACCCCCACGCTTCTCCACCCCCAGTGCATCAGACCACCTGACTTGCACTTGAGGGGACTGTTAGGTTATTGGAGTTACCTATGACCTCGAGCTCGAGTTCGGCATTCGTTTCTTTTGGGCTAGCAAGCGCGCCAACTACCTTCTTTGTTAATTAAAAACAACATTTTCTGCAGTTATGATTATTACTGATTTGCCTTATTTCAAAGAGGTGGAAGTGAAGATGTTATCTTGAAAACGTCGATTCGACATGGTAGCGGCAAATTAAAATATTTTACTCCTAGCTTCAGTTGTTGTAACAGAGATTCGACACACCGTACACAGTGTCAGTAAAGGTTAAACCCATTTTTACGTGATTAATTACTACGAGCTGACCCGCGACGTAGCATACGCCGCCATCTAGTTGTTTTATTTTCTGCTTATCAGCAATTCATAATTTGTTTTGTGAATTCAACACTACCCCCTCCCTTCTCCCCCCCCCCTCCCCCCACCTAGTGAAAACAGCCGTTTACAGACAAAGAAAAGATCAATCAGAAATTGTTACCTCCCCTTCATTTCAAATCGTTTAATACTAAATTATCTGCCCTTAATAGCCGTCACTAGCCCAGCTCTACGATTGTAAACATTCGTTGTGAACCAAAGCTCATCAGATTGGTGGGGGGGGGGGGGGTTGGTATCGATTTGCCTGAAGAGCGGGAGAGTAACTGCGTGCGTCTACGTTTTGTCCTGCATGGTCCCCATGAAGAGAATTATATAGATCTACAACTAATCTCATATGAAATATCAATTTACGCTAGGGCCAAAGGCTTGATAATAGAACAAATTAGTTCTATGTCGTAGGTTTTAAAAATAATTTTACAGACATAACGATGAAAAGGAAGTAGAGTTAAACCACTTCTAGGACCTTGTCACATAAGTAAATATTTAGTAGGGTATTTAAGCACTATATCACAACAGCCATTTTCCTCAAAGTGAAGTACCCATAAGATCTAGGAGGACTTAGGAACATAAAAATATTTAATACTTTAAATGAATTGCAACACTTTTGTATAGGTAATCAAGCGCACGATTGCACGACTTTATTGTATTTTATTTATTGTGCGAAAAACTGCAAAGCTTAACTTATGCTAAGCTATCGTTAATTGAAACAACTACCATCTTGTCAGGCTGTATATCACCATCCTCCTGTATATCACCATCCTCCAGTATATCACCATCCTCCTGTATATCACCATCCTCCTGTATATCACCATCCTCCTGTATATCACCATCCTCCTGTATATCACCATCTTGTCAAGCTGTATATCACCATATTGTCTGGCTTTATATCACCAATTTGTCTGGCTGTATAACACCATCCTCCTGTAGATCACCATCTTCCTGTATATCACCATCCTCCTGTATATCACCATCTTGTCAGGCTGTATATCACCATCTTGTCTGGCTTTATATCACCAATTTGTCTGGCTGTATAACACCATCCTCCTGTAGATCACCATCTTCCTGTATATCACCATCCTCCTGTATATCACCATCTTGTCTGGCTGTATATCACCATCCTCCTGTAGATCACCATCTTCCTGTATATCACCATCCTCCTGTATATCACCATCTTGTCAGCTGTATATCTAAGCTGGATGAACTCATTGACGTTCTAAAGACTTGAACCCGGATTCGAACTTAAGCCTTTCGGGTTTGCAGTCTAGCTCACTACTGCTAGGCACGACGTTGCTTCTTTTTCTTATAAATGTATCATGTATTATGTACGTTAAATATTAATATCTCTTAAGCCTTTTGTATTAAGGAAAATGCTAAATGTAAGAACATAAGTACTCGATTTTCTTAAATGCCGACTTTATCTTTTTTGTTAGCACTAATCTATAATTACTCAAAAATAAGATAACTTATGAGGTTCGTGTTGAGTGTAGTAAGTTCTCTTTCAGAGCAGATGGCCTATGAGGCCGGTAGAGTTCACTTGACCACGGCATATGAAGGATAATGCGGTCAGCGCTTTGCCAAGTCTTCAACTTTTAATTGTAGAGGCAGAGGCGTAGCAACCCTTCCCAGCGCCCGGGGACAAACTTTCAATTTGGCACCCCCTCGGGAACAAACCTTCAATTTTCAATTTGCACCCCCCTCAAACTTTCCATTTGCACCCTCCTCAAACTTTCCATTTGCACCCCCCCTTCCTCAAACTTTCCATTTGCACCCCCCCCATATATTTTTTATTTTTATAATGACAAACTGCACCTAAAATGAGATTTTAATTTGTTTTTTTCAACCCATTTTGGCGCCCCCTAAGGTCGGCGCCCGGGGACATATGTACCCCCCTGCCCCCCCCCCCCCTTCGCTACCCCTCTGTGTAGAGGCCGATACTCATTTGGCTTTATTGGGCTCATCGTTGTCACACAGATTGAGTTCATAGCCAGATAATTAAAACCCCGAGTGTGTTGCTACTTGACAACGCCGCAGAGGCGTAGTTACCCTTCCAGTCGCCCGGGGACAAACTTTCGATTTGCACCCCCTCTCGAACTTTTTATTTGCACCCCCTCGGGAACAAACCTTCAATTTTCAATTTGCACCCCCCTCAAACTTTCCATTTGCACCCCCCTCGAACTTTTGATTTGCATTCTCCCCCCCCTCAAACTTTCAATTTTTTTTTCCAACCCATTTTGGCGCCCCCCCCCCTAAGGGCGGCGCCCGGGGATATATGTCCCCCCCGCCCGCCCCCTCGCTACGCCTCTGCAACTCCGTCTCTTTCGTACAGTAACCGATACACGTCCAACGCTCTAAATTTTTAGACATGGCATGATATTAACCCTCGTCTACACTAAAATAGAACTAAGCCCCCTAATCTAGACATTACAAATCCTAAACGTTAGAATCTAGACAATACATTTAGTAAGCAATCAACCTAGACATATTATATCAATCTCTATGCCATTAAATTGACAATAGTTTAACTAAGATCACAATCTAGTTATGTCATACGATGTCATAAACTTTGAAAATACTTCAATTAAGCCTTCATTTTAACATACAGCACACTCAGCAATTCTGTATATAGGTATCCGTGATGATTCGCTTATGTTTTAATTAACCCCAAAACTTTGATCCGTCGAGCTATTTTTGAAAGCTAAAAGGTTAACTTACCACTAACATAATTACACGGTTTTTTTATAGCGCATACAACGATCTCATTTTATCTGTCACTGACTACGAATCCAAATACTATCTCAGCTGTTAAAATATACAGTAATTACCCTTTAATTATATGGTTGCATCATATATAAAACATTTTCTGACTAGCGATATAAGGTTGTTCTTGGGAGATAATTAAAAACAACGATTTTGGAATGGAGAGAGCTGCGTTAAAAAGAGAACTGGGATTGATTGGAGCGACGTCCATTGTAATAGGCAGCATTGTTGGTAGGTTAATGTCACTTGTCATCTACAGTATCATGGCAGGGTCATGTTATTTGACATCCGTAGTACCACTGGTAGGTTAATATCAATTGTCATCTACTGCGTTACTGATAGGTTTATGTC